CCCAAAAGTTCAGGACCACCTGGGTAACATAAGGAGGCCCTGTCTCTACAAAAGAATTAAAAATTAGCCAGGTGTGGTGGTGTGCGCCTGTAGTCCCAGCTACTCAGAAGGCTGAGGCAGGAGAATACAGCCCATGAGTTAAAGGTCACGGTGAGCTGTGATCATGCCATTGTTCTCCAGCCTGGGCAACAGAGCGAGGCCTCGTCTCTAAAAAACAGATAAAAAAAGAAGGCTTGTCTGAGCTGGGAGAAATACACAAGGCCATGTCTAGAGGGGGACAAGGAGGTCAGGGGCAACTCTTGAGGATGGGAGACATGATGAGGGCTTGAACAGGAAGAGAAGCTTTGAGGATAGAGAGGAGGGGCAGATTTGAGAAAAAGAATCCACAAGACTGAGAATCAAGTTGCTGTGGGAACCTAGTCCATTTTATAAACTACTAAATATCTACTATGTGACAAGTACAGTGTGAGGTGCCAGAGATACAAGAAATAAAGCACTTTTTTTTTGAGACCCAGTCTCACTCTGTTGCCCAGGCTGGAGTGCAGTAGTGCAATCTTGGCTTACTGCAACCTCCGCCACCCGGGTTCAAGCAATTCTCTGGCCTCAGCCTCCCAAGTAGCTGTGACTACAGGCGCACGCCACCACACCTGGCCAATTTTTGTATTTTTATTAGAGACAGGGGTTTCGCCATGTTGGCTGGGTTGGTCTTGAACTCCTGGCCTCAGGTAATCCACCTGCCTCGGCCTCTCAAAGTTCTGGGATTACAGATGTGAGCCATGGCACCCAGCCTCCATGTTTTCTTTATCTAGTCATCAGTTGATGGACATTTGGGTCGTTTAGACCTTTGGGCTACTGTGAATAGTTTACTCACACTGGGTTCACCAAGTCCCACCTCCCTGGCCTTTTTCCTATTGCTCAAACCTGTCAGACTGGTTTCTGCCTCGGGATCATCCTCACATTTGTTATTTCCTCTGCCTGGAATGCTTTTCACCCAAGTGTCTCCATGGCTCTCTCATCCTCATCCTTGCAGCTCAAATGTCTTACCCTTAGAGAAGCCTTCCCTGATCACTGTATTTAAAGTAGTTAAACCCTCAATCACATGTATATCCCATTACCCTACTGGAGGATCTTCATAGTACATATCATTATCCGAAATGAATAAGAATTATTGTCTAGACCAGGGGTTACTTTGTGCCATTGGCCCCGTTAGCAATCTAGTGAGGCCTATGGGCTTGTTCTCAAAAGAATGTTTTTAAATGCCTAAAATATTCCAGTTATACCAAAAAAACAGTTAGTAAAATATTCTAAAATTGTGACTTAGTAATCCACGTGCTTCTCTATCAATTCTGGAATAATATCTATATGCAGGCTTAATAATGATCAGAATTTGGATGTCGTAATGAGTATAAATGCTATTCTGAGCTATTTGCAACAACTGGAATGGGAAATGACGATATCAGTGATTTCTATTGGTTATGAAATCACAGGTACTGCTAACATTACTGTAGATTGTTATCTACGTTCATAGATCGTTCAAACCTCAGTTAGAGATTAGTGAAAAAGATGTATTTTTTCTCCTATCCAAGTTCTCAGATCCTCTGAATTCTGTTCTTAGACCCCAGGAGGTCCATGGACCCTGTGTTAAGAATGCCTGTCTTGAAATGTCAAAGATTATCAGTAGTGATGGGGAGGGATGGAGTCTGTTGGAGCTGGTTTTGGTCGAAGATGGAGGAGATCACAGTGAGCAAGGGAATCAAGAGCTAGAAGAAAGCTGCCCTCTCTGCCCTTCCATGGGACTTGGGTGGGGAGATGAAGAAATTTCCAGTTGAGAAGGACATGAGAAAAGCAGCATCTTTGAAGGATAGTCGGGTGTGACTTAGAGGAAGGAAGAAGTTTGGGAGGAGGTAGCCTATAAGAGTAAGGAATTTTGATTAGGCAGGTGTGGTGGTGCGCAGCAGAATTGCTTGAACTTGGGAGGCAGAGGTTGCAGTGAACCGAGGTCGCGCCATTGCACTCCAGCCTGGGCAACAAGAGCAAGACTCCGTCTCAAAAAAAAAAAAAAAAAAAAAGTGGTATGGGCTTTTGTTTACCACCCACTGGAATCCAGTAACCAGCACAACAGAATGTGGGTGAGAGGTGGCCACCTTGGACGGCGGGAAGATGAGTCGCTGGGGCCCCGGGGTGGAGGGAACACAGAGCAGTAGGAGAAACTTTAGTATGTTCCAGACAGCAGGCTAGACATGGAGGATACAGAGATGAATAAGACCAAATCTTTGTCTACACCAAATCCTGGAGGCTGATTGGCTAGTTTGGCTGGTCTGATCCATGTACATCTTGAGAGCTTCTGAGAGCCAGAGGCAATTGCAGTAAGACAGGCACAGTGTATCACTCAAGATTTTGGGGCTGGGGGTCGGGAGCTAAAAAATGTACTTTTTAGCTTTATTTTCTTTCCTCCTTTGATTCCTTCTGCAAAGCAAAAAAAAAAAAAAAGTTAAAAAAAAAAAAGGTATGTAATGGAGAAAAAAAATGAAGCTGTGTCATGATCAACTATTTCAAACCAGCAAATCATCCAAAAATTAATTTGAAAGGCCTAGGGTATACATCCCCCACCCTCATTCCAAATTCATCAGGAACCTTCTAAGGATCTTTGCAACCAAGAGATTCTTTGATGCGATTGCCCTTCGGAACAGTGGCTCAGAGGGATCAAAGGAAGCAAAAAGGACTGTGTTTTAGATTTTTCTCTGGGGCTCTGGAGGTGGAGGTTGCAGTAAGCGGAGATCGTGCCACTGCACTCCTGCCTGGATGACAGGGCGAAATTCCATCCGAAAAGAAAGATTTTTCTCTGGGGCTCCAGAGATAGCCTGCACCTGGATGTCAACTCTGGCTGCAGCTCTTAGAATCTAGGATCTTGTGATTCTTTTTTAAAAGGCTACTTCCCCCTTCTCTACTAGGGCGATCTTTGAAAAAGGCTCAGTCTGGGAGCTGCTGCAGGTGGGAGGCATTGGTTGGGCCCAGCTCCTCCTTTGATCATCATGTTCCCTTCTGGCAGCGGTATCTGAAAACTCCCTGCCCTTGGCCCACATGACAAGCCTCTTCTAGCCTGAAGAGAGGCAGCCCCTCAGCCAGAGAGGCAGCAGACAGACAGGGGAGATGAGAACAAGAGGCAGGGCTGGCTAAGCTGACCTAGTTAAGAGAAGCAAGAGGCTGTAGGGGTGATGGGGACAACTTGGGAGGGGACTGGGACAGAGAGAGAGGGAAGTTCTCAGGGAATGACCAAGACACAGAGACATAGAGGGCTGACTGTTGTTTAAGAAGCCTTGGCGGCTGGGCGTGGTGGCTCACGCCTGTAATCCCAGCACTTTGGGAGGCCCAGGTGGGTGGATCCCGAGGTCAGGAGTTCAAGTCCAGTCTGGCCAACGTGGTGAAAACCTGTCTCTACTAAAGATACAAAAAATTAGCTGGGCGTGATGGCACGTGCCTGTAGTCCCGGCTACTCAGGAGGCTGAGGCAGGGGAATCGCTGGAACCTGGGAGGCAGAGTTTGCAGTGAGCCGAGATTGTGCCACTGAACTCTAGCCTGGTGACAGAGCAAGACTCTGTCTCAAAAAAAAAAAAAAAAAGAAGCCTTGGCAAGACTTGGGGGCCAGCTAGAGGAGCCGTGCATGGAGACTCAGTCAGCTGGTGAGCCTGTGTCCATGTGTGGAGGGTGTGGTGGGGAATAGCTTTACCAGATTTTGCCTGAATACTTAGATTTATTTATTTCCTTCCTTCCTTCTTTCTTTTCTCTTTTCTTCTCTTCTCTTTTCTTTCAGATAAAGTCTCACTCTGTTGTCCAGACTGGAGTGCAGTGGTGTGATCTCCACTTACTGCAACCCCTGCCTCCTGGGTTTCAATGATTCTCATGCCTCAGCCTCCCGAGTAGCTGGGATTCAGGCATGTGCCACCATGCCCAACTAATTTTTGTATCTTTACTAAAGACGAGGTTTTGCCATGTTGCCCAGGCTGGTCTCCAACTCCTGAGCTCAGGTGATCTGCCTGCCTCAGCCTTCCAAAGTGCTGGGATTACAGCCATGAACTGCTGCACCTGGCCTGAATACTTAGATTTTAAAGTCACTACCTTGGTGGAAATGAGAATCAGAAAAATATCTTGGCCTTGGGGGAACCAAATGGGGAGCTCCACTAATCCTACTGAGAATGAGCAGAAGCCCTAAGTGTTCTCACAAGATTGCCCAGCAGTGGGCCAAAGACAGGTCTTGCTACCCACTGTGTACCCAGCTCCCATCTAGGCACTGTAGGGGAGATAAAGGAAGCAAAGACATAAACCCAGCTTGGAGGAAATCAGCCCTGCTACAGATACAGCCAGTGAGCTCCACACTGCGTTGGGGCCTCCAGAGGGACATAGAAGTGCCCTTTATAGGCCCTGCCCTTCAAGAAGACACAGTCTATTTGAGAATCCTTGCAAAGCAACAATAAGCAATTGAGCCAGTTGTGGTGGTTCATGCCTGTAATCCCAGCACTTTGAGAGGCTGAGGCAGAAGAATCAATTGAACCCAGGCAGCAGAGGTCACAGTGAACCAAGATTGCTCCATTGCACTCCAGCCTGGGCAGCAGAGCAAGACTGTCTCAAAAAAAAAGGCAATTGAATGCCATTTTTTGTTATGCCCCTGGCTTGCATAAGGGCTTTCTGGCATAAGTGGGGAAGGCTGTAGGAAGGAAGAGGGCATTTAGCTGAGCCCTGAGGTCTGGGAGGGCAGAATTGGGATGAGGAGAGAGAAAGGGGCATTCTAGTGAACGTGAACAGATGGGCATAGGTTTGGCTCATGTAGGGACTGAGAAGGTGGCCAGGGTGACAAGATTGGAGGCCCCCTGAAGGGAGATGGAGAAATGCAGCTGGATGGGAGAGAGTCAAGATTACAGAGGGCATTTGAAACTTCCAAAAGGGACAGTGTCAAAATCCAAGTTTTTGATGGGGTCCGCCTCTGTCTCTGCTGTCCCTTTTAGCTACAAACCCATTGTGGAATTCATTGACGCACAATTCGAGGCCTACCTGCAGGAAGAGCTGAAGATCCGAAGAGTGCTGCACACCTACCATGACTCCCGAATCCATGTCTGCTTGTATTTCATTGCCCCCACGGGTCATTCCCTGAAGTCTCTGGACCTAGTGACTATGAAGAAGCTGGACAGTAAGGTATATGAGGCAGGGGTGGGGATCATGGGGGGCTCACTCTTACTGATCTCTTGTGCAAAGTAGATGTGGGTTTCTGGGAGAGATTTGTGGCATCCTCATCCTCTTTCTCATTCCCTGTCCCTCCATAAAGATGGTGTTACGGATCCAGCACCAGCATCATATGATTTGTGATCTGAGCCCTGAGTTGTCTTTCTGCCCTGATCCCTCTCGAGGAATAGCAAGTCGGCTCCCTGGGTCTAGGGGCAAAAGCTTTGGCAATGGAAAGCTGTTTTTTTCTTTGCCCCAATGTTAACTGGCTAGAATCAAACATGCAAACTTGGCTTTGAAAGGTATCATTCTGAACCGGGCATGCTGGCTCATGCCTGTAGTCCCAGCACTTTGGGAGGCTGAGGCAGGCGGATCACAAGGTCAGGAGTTCAAGACCAGCCTGACCAACATAGTAAAACCCTGTCTCTACTAAAAATACAAAAATTAGCCAGGCGTGGTGGTGGGCGCCTGTAATCCCAGCTCCTCGGGAGGCCAAGGCAGGAGAATTGCTTGAACCTGGGAGGTGGAGGTTGCAGTGAGCCAAAATCGTGCCATTGCACTCCAGCCTGGGCAACAAGAGTGAAACTCCATCTCAAAAAAAAAGTTTTCATTCTTACTGTCAATACTTTTATGATTGCAGCTAACATTAAAACCCTCGTTATATGCCAACCTGTGAAGTACACACTATTGTTATCCTTATTTTACAGAAGAGAAAACTGAGGCTCTGAGAGGTTAAATGACTTGCTCATTGTCATATCACTAGCTGCTGTAGAGTGCAGATTCTGTGACACTCAGATCTGTGACCCCATGTCATCATGCTTCCATGCCCGAGAAAGATGGCTGTGGAAATCAGGCATTGTCTTGCTTTAAGAAAAACTTAAAAATGCAAATTCTACACCATGTATAAATTAGACAATGATTCTTCTTGTTAGAGGATTATGTGTTGTGCAAAATAATTGACCACAGGATTCTTCAAAAAGCCTAATTACATTTTTTGCTACTATTTAATGTGTGCCAGATGCTGTGATGAGTACTCTATATGCATTATTTTATTTTATCCTTCCAATAGTCCGGTGGTGAGTTCTATTATTATTCCCATTTCACTCATGATGAAACTGAGGGGTAGAAATTCAAGTCACTTGCTCAACCTTAGACAGCTTGAAATGGATCTGGGATTTGGACCTAGCTCTGACTCCATGGTTTTTTATTTTACAAAAATTGAATTCAGGCCGGGCATGGTGGCTCATGCCTGTAATCCCAGCACTTTGGGAGGCTGAGGAGGGGGTTAGGAGTTTGAGACCAGCCTGACCAACATGGCAAAACCTTGTCTCTACTAAAAATACAAAAATTAGCCGGGCATGGTTGTGTGTGCCTGTAATCCCACCTACTGAGGAGACTCAGGCAGGAAAATTGCTTGAACTTGGGAGGTGGAGGTTGCAGTGAGCTGGAATTGCACCACTGCACTCCAGCCTGGATGACAGAACAAGACTTCGTATCAAAAAAGAAAAACAAAAAACAAAAAACTAATTTACATGCAGCCCTTTAGTAGCACATCCACTCTAAAACTGAATTTCAGCTCTCATCAGAATAGGAGCAATTTTTCATTTTTCACAGTAATGGGCTCATGGCCCATGAATAAAAGGCTGCTCTTGAAATGTGGCCCTGCCCTGCATGTCCTGTATAGGGGCAGTGGTGAGCCACATGACTGCAGGCCTGATGGATGGGCTGGGTTAAGCCTTTGATACATGGGTTTTTTTTGAGATGGAGTTTCACTCTTGTCACGATGGCGCGATCTCAGCTAACCACAACCTCTGCCTCCTGGGTTCAAAAGATTCTCCTGCCTCAGCGTCCTGAGTAGCTGGGATTATAGGCATGTGCCACCATGCCCAGCTAATTTTGTATTTTTAGTAGAGATGGGCTTTCTCCATGTTGGTCAGGCTGGTCTCGAACCCCTGAGCTCAGGTAATTTGCCCGCCTTGGCCTCCCAAAGTGCTGGGATTACAGGCGTGAGATATGTTTATAGTGTGCCAGTGGGGACTTGGTGAAAGTGCCAAGGAGAAGAGGCTCTGCCTGCTGTTTCATCTTGGCAAGGGCTTTGACCCCTTTCCCCGTGAAAGACTTCAAGGGAGGGGCCTACAAGGTTCAGTCTTTCTTTGACCCAGCACCTGTGTGATATCTGCCTTCAGAGGCCCTCCTAAGCCAAAGTGCAAAGGAGGCAGGATTTATCTTCCCTGTCTAGAGCTCCCAGACTCCCCTTTCAGAGCCCGGGGCCTGAGTGCCACCTATGTCCCCCATTGGAGTCTACTGGTAGGAATGACTGTCCTCCCCATGTCAACCAGACCTTAGTGTGCTCTGTCTCACAAAGACATGTGTGTTTCAAGTTTCTTTGCCTTCTCACAGTAAAAGCCTTGTCCCATCTTGGAGGAATTTCAGGGATTAGGGTTCAGGTGGATTGAACTTTTGGTTGGTATTAGGCCTTTCTCCTGATGCCTGAAATTGGTCATTTATACTTGCTTTTTTCTTTTTTTTTAATTTAACACAGATAACAGGAAACAATATACTTGCTTTTCTTACTCAGAAATTAATCATGAGACCCAGGCAGTATACTTCTTTTTGCATAAGTCTCAGATCAAATTGTAACTAGAGGTTCTTCCTCACCTAACTGAGTTGGTTATTCAGTGTCTGCTGCCAGAAAGGGAGCCAAGTGTGCGTCCTCTCTGAGCACCGTCCCTGCTGCTTTTCCCTGCCATCTCATGTGGGTCCACATCACACCTGGCTGGGGCTAGCCTGCACCTGATGGGTTGGCACAATTTACTGTTAGCAAGGAGGAGCCATCTCTCTCCTGTCAGCCACACATTCCCAGCTGTCACCTTTCTGCTTCAAATCTCCCGAGCAGTAACCTTGATACCAAGATGCCACACAGCTCATCAACTTGGATCTGAACTGGTAGACAGCTCATGCTTAAGACTAGGGAGGCTGGGTGCGGTAGCTCATGCCTGTATTTCCCAGCACTTTGGGAGGCTGAGGCAGGCAGATCACCTGAGGTGAGGAGTTCGAGACCAGCCTGGCCAACATGGAGAAACCCCGTCTCTACTAAAAATACAAAAAAATTAGCTGGGCGTTGTGGCTGTCACCTGTAATCCCAGCTACTCAGGAGGCTGAGGCAAGAGAATCACTTGAACTCGGGAGGCAGAGGTTGTAGTGAGCTGATGTTGCGCCATTGCATTCCAGCCTGGGTGACAGAGCGAGACTCTGTCTCCAGAAAAGAACAAGAGAGAGGAGGGTGAGGAGAGGGGAGGAGAGGAGAGGGGAGGGGAGGACAAGACAAGACACTTAGTAATAAGGCTGAGTTTGGATTTGAATCCCAGTTCTCCAGTTCTGCTACTTACTTGCTCTGTGGCCTTGGACAAGTTACTTAACCTCTCTATGCCTCAGTTTTTCATTGGCAAAATAGTAATAATACCTCCTGGAGGGGTTATTGTCAGGATGAATTGTGCTAATTTGTGTAAACCACTTAGTTCAGTGCCCAAAACATAGTTAGTACTTGCTGTTTATTATATTATCATTTGGCTTCAGAAGTGGCCAGCCCTAGACCATGGGGCTGAGTGGCACCCTCTGGCAGCTGGTGGAAGTCCTAGGTCATGCTGCTATCAGTTGCAGGTTACTAACAATGACCCCACTTTGCTCCTCCTCTTCCCAGGTGAACATCATCCCTATCATTGCCAAAGCAGATGCCATTTCGAAGAGTGAGCTAACAAAGTTCAAAATCAAAATAACCAGCGAGCTTGTCAGCAACGGAGTCCAGATCTATCAGTTTCCTACAGATGATGAGTCGGTGGCAGAGATCAATGGAACCATGAACGTGAGTGGGAGCACAGGGGTTCAACTCCCTGACCATTTTTTCTTTATCATGATTATCATTATTTTGTTTTAGAGATAGAATCTTGCTCTGTTGCCCAGGCTGGAGTGCAGTGGTGTGATCACAGCTCATTGTAGCCTCAAACTCCTGGGCTCAAGGGATCCTCCCGCCTCAGCCTCCCGAGTAGCTGGGATTACAGGTGCATTCACAATTCCTGGCTAGCTAACGTTTCAATGTTTCATAGAGACTGGGTCTTGCTATGTTGCTCAGGCTGGTCTTGAAGCCCGGGGCTCAAGCGATACTCCTGCGTCAGCCTCCCAAAGTGCTGGGATTACAAGTGTGAACCACCATGCTGACCCCTTTATTATTATTACTTTACCAAATAGCAGCAAAACATCTTCACCATCCATCTTAGTGTAGTAAGCTCTTTTTTTCCTTTTCCTTTTTTTTTTGAGATAGGATCTCATTCCATTGCCCAGGCTGGAGTGCAGTGACCCAATCTCGGCTCACTGCAACCTCTGCCTCTTGGGTTCAAATGCCAACTGTAATCCCAGCTACTCAGGGGGCTGAGGCATGAGAATTAGTCACCATGCCCAGCTATTTTTTTTTCTTTCTGTTTTTAGTAGAGACAGGGTTTCACTGTGTTGGCCAGGCTGGTCTTGAACTCCTAGGCTCAAGTGATCTGCCTGCCTCCCAAAGTGCTGGGATTACAGGAGTGAGCAAATGTGCCCGGCCAAGTCAACTCTTGATATTATCTAAGTCTCAGGTATTTGTGAGAGAGAATCCAGAACCAAAATAGCTCCTCTCTCCTAGTCGTGGCTGCTGCAAATCCTCCAAGATGCCGAGATTAGTAGCCAGAAACTGAGGGAAAGGGAAGGCCGACTCCGGGAAGAGTGTGTGGCAGGGCCTTCAGACCTCTCCTTCCACCCACCTCCTTGATGCTGCTCTGGTCTGGGACAAGCAGACCCTATGGGACTGTAGGAAAGGCAGACAGTTTTTGTCTCAGACCAAAGCAACACCAGAACAATTGATGCTGTTAAAGAAGCAAAGGCTGGAAAAGTTGGCTTGCTTTGGGGTCTCAGGAATATTCAGTGCTGAGATTATCAAGCCCTCTGGCCCTGGGAGGACAAATGATCTACAGCCCACAACATTGCTGGTGACTAGAGAGATTTTATTGATTGATTGATTGATTGATTGATTGAGATGGAGTCTTGCTCTGTCACCAGGCTGGAGTGCAGTGGTGAGATCTCGGCTCACTACAACCTCCGCCTCCTGCGTTCAAGCAATCCTCCTGCCTCAGCCTCCTGAGTAGCTGGGACTACAGGTGTGTGACACCATGCCCAGCTAAGTTTTGTATTTTTAGTAGAGATGAGGTTTCACCATGTTGGCCAGGATGATCTCGATCTCTTGACCTCATGATCCGCCCACCTCAGCCTCCCATAGTGTTGGGATTACACGTGTGAGCCACCGTACCTGGCCTATTTATTTATTTATTTATTTATGAGATGGAGTCTCACTCTGTTGCCCAGGCTGGAGTGCAGTGGCTCAATCCTGGCTCAGTGCAACCTCTGCCTCCCAGGTTCAAGCGATTCTCCTGCCTCGGCCTGTCAACTAGCTGGGATTATAGGCAGCTGGCTAATTTTGTGTTTTTAGTAGAGACGGGGTTTCACCACATTAATGTGTCCCTCACCACATTAGCCAGGCTGGTCTTGAACTCCTGACCTCAGGTGATCCACCTGCCTCAGCCTCCCAAAGTCCTGGGATTACAGGCATGAACCACTGTGCCCGGCCAAGAGATGTTATTTTTAAATATCAGGGTTGGCTGGGTGCAGTGGCTCATGCCTGTAACTCCAGCACTTTGGGAAGCTGAGGCAGGTGGATCATCTGAGGTCAGGAGTTCAAGACCAGCCTGGCAAACATGGCAAAACCCTGTCTCTACTAAAAAAATAAAAAATTTAGCCAGGCGTGGTGGTGTGCGTCTGTAATCCCAGCTACTTGGGAAGCTGGAGCAGAGAGAATTGCTTAATCCTGGGAGCCAGAGTTTGCAGTGAGCTGAGATTACACCATTGCACTCCAGCCCAGGCGACACAGCGAGACTCCATCTAAAAAAAAAAATCAGGGTTTTTATTTGCTTTATTAAGTGTGAATGAATCAAAACAAAAACTCTTGCCATCTTTCCTCTCCTCCCCCACTTTTCCCTACTAGGGGAATGAGTAATAAAGAAGGCAGAGAGGCAAATATGCTTCCTTCCAATGTGTTGATGGTGTTGCCGTGAAATCTTCAATGTTGTGATTTCAAGGAGACAGCTAATAGCTTTCAGAAAGCCTCTGCTTTGGGAACAGATTTCTTTTTTGCTGTTGAGTGGCATCAGGTTTTCCTAATGACATAATGCCTGGGTATAGCCAAACTCAGGAAAGCCTTGTAATAAAAGCCATTTTTAGCAAACTTTCCTGCTGCCACTGCCCTCTAACTTATCATTACAGCATCAGCTCCCACCTCCTATGAATTGGCCAACAAATTAGCATAGCAAGGCAGCAAGCCATTGTCTCGCCTGGCTTCCTGTCCATCAGTACACCCGAAATGTGTTTGTTATTAGAAGCTCATCACCATCTTAAGTAAATCTGGCTCAAGGGCAAGGCTATCTGGAGCTTGGTAGGTAGAGACAGATCTTCTCTGACCAGCCATGGGCATGGAAAAAATATAAAAGATTAACGCTTGTCCCCTCGAGAAGTCAAGGCATTCTGATGGAAACTGGGCTCTATTATGAAGAGACAGCCTAGTTTGCAGAAAAATTGGAGCCTCGAGAGAAGTGTTGTCTGGGTGTCACCGGCACTGATCTGGAAGCGGCTAGTCACCTCAGGACATCAGTCCCTATAGAGACCTTCTGAACACTGATGCCCTAAGTCACCAAGCAGCTTTCAGGCTTGTCCTTTGCTTTGCTAAGAATAAATAGGGACTGAGAGTTCTCAGCCATCTCAAGGTGTCACACAAAACCACATCTCGGTACCTCATGGATTAGGAGTAACGATCATCCTGGGCTTTGTTCTCAGCTCAGCTCTGGCCTCCTGCTCAGCCTAGGGCAGGCACAACCTCAAGGCTGGAAACCCCCAGGCTAGGCAGCAGTAGTTGTCAAGCATGCTGTTATGGCTGTGAAGGGATTCTGGGTCCTTTGTTACTTATGTGTTTCACTTTGAAAAACAAAGTTCAAGCCTAGACAACATAGCGAGACCTCATCTCTATTGAAATTCAAAATAAAGTGACTAGTGCCCAGGCACACTGGCTTACACCTGTAATCCCAGTACTTTGAGAGACCAAGGTGGATGGATCACCTGAGGCCGGGAGTTTGAGACCAGCCTGACCAACATGGTGAAACCCCATCTCTACTAAAAATACAAAATTAGCCGGGCATGGTGGTGCATGCCTGTAGTCCCAGCTACTCAGGAGGCTGAGGCAGGAGAATTACTTGAATCTGGGAGGCAGAGGTTGCAGTGAGCCAAGACTGTGCCACTATGCTCCAGCCTGGAGATACATCAAGACTCCATCCGAAAAAAATAAAACAAAACAAAATAAATAAAAGAAAGAGAGGGAGGGAGGGAATTCGAGTGGACTCAGGGTTAACCCTACCATAAACCACTCACCACTTACTCCCTTGCATCCCACTGTGCTTTTTTTTTTTTTCCTGAGACAGGGTCTCACTCTGTTGCCCAGGCTAGAGTACAATGGTGCAATAGCTCACTGCAGCCTCCACCTCCCGGGTTCAAGCAATCCTCCTGCCTCAGCCTCCTGAGTAGCTTGGACCACAGACATGAATCACCATGCCCGGCTAATCCACTGTGTTTTCTTTGAGTGGGAAAGAGGAGTGGCCTCACAGCTAGTGTGCCTGGAATTGGCATGCCTGTAAGAGGAGCCTGCCTGTGAGTGCTTTGTGTTACATGCGCTGTGATGGGGAAGAGGGTGCTATCAATATACACATAGGATTGCTTAGCTGCCTGCCACCGAACAACTGTGTCAAAAGCCCCCAGAGTCTCCACACAAGCCGTGGTGTATGAAGCTGCATCCTCAGAGACTGCAGCTTGAGTGGTAGGAGGAATAGGTGCTGGGCTTTCAATTTTGGATCTGACTCCAGTCCCACAGCCTCAGCCACCCCAGCCAATTGTCATAGGAGCTGAATTGGAAGAAGTGGAAGAAGTCTCTTGCCTGAGTGGAGAAGACTGTACAATGTCCTGTTTCTCACCATGAGGGATTTTTGTGGCAGGAATTGAGTAATGAGGTCACAGCCATCACCTTGGATTATGGGTGGCTCCAGAAAACCTTATTTTATTATTATTATTTTTAAGATGGAATCTCGCTATGTCGCCAGGCTGGAATGCAGTGACATGGTCTTGGCTCACTGCAACCTCCACCTCGCGGGTTCAAGTGATTCTCTTGCTTCAGCCTCCCGAGTAGCTGGGACTATAGGCACGTGCCACCACACCCAGCTAATACAAAAATTAGCTTTAGTAAAATTAGTTTTAATAGAGATGGGGTTTTACCATGTTGGCCAGGATGAACTTGATCTCTTGACCTCGTGATCTGCCCACGTTAGTCTCCCAAAGTGCTAGGATGACAGGCGTGAGCCACTGCACCTGGCCTTTGAAAACCTTATTTTAGAGTGAGGGTGCAAAAGAAGGGAGAGGGGTCTTGTCGCATGCTATTTTCGACCCATGCTCTGATCTCTCTCAAGGTTGTAAATTTTAGTACTAAAAATTGCTATGTTGTTTTCAATTTAATGATGTGCTTTGAATGGCTCAAACCATGGCCAGGACAAGCAAAAAGGCCCAGTTACTTATTTGACTCAGCTCCATTAGTTGGCCATTTGTGAGGTCTGGAGTTTGGTTCCCAGAAAGGCAATTGACATTTGGGCCCAGTGAGAGCAGATGACTGACCAGTAGGGTCACAGGGAGACCCATGGGCACAAGTTCATCCCTTCCTCTGAGACAGCAGTGGTATTTCCATTGTTTGCATATACTTTTCAAGGAATCGCCAGTGGTTGACTTGAAAGCAAATGAGCCAATGGTCTTGTTCAGTCACCAGCAGGAGCCTGAAATGGGGACTAGCTTAACCGGGAAACACTGTCTACCCTGGAAGGAAACCAAGCCCAAGCAGAATATGATCATTAGATGAGGAATAAAGAGTTCTGACGGTGTCTATTTCATTGGGCTGAAGAAGACAATCATCTAGCCTCCCAAGTATAATGAATGTGGTGAAATAAGAATAAAATAACTCATGCCAATTGGATTATTAAGTACTTTACAATGTACCAAGAAGAATTTAAGTTAGACACAAGTCAGTAAAGGTAGTGCTATGGTTTGATTGTATCCCCTCCAAAATTCAGGTGTGGCCAGTGTGATAGTACTAAGAGGTGGGGCCTTTAAGAAGTGATTGGGCATGGGGGCTCCTCCCTTGTTAATGGGATGAAGACCCTTTTTAAAGAGACATCATGTAGTGTTAGGCTAGCTTGTCCTGCTGCTGTGCGAAGATGTAGCAAGAAGGTCCTCACCAGCCCAGATGCTGGTGCCTTGATCTTGGACTTCCCAGACTCCAGAACTATGAAAATTAAATTTCTTTTCTGCCTCAACCTCCCAAAGTGCTGGGATTACAGGTGTGAGCCACCACGCCCGGCCTGAGGATTCAATTTCTGTTGTTGATAAATTACCCAATCTCAGGTAGTTTGTTGTAGCAAGACAAAATGCACTAAGACAGATAGTGAATCCAGGAATGGACTTCCAAGGGAGGCTTGAGACTATCTGTTGTTGGAGTTTTCTGAGACTGGGAAATCTGACATCCGAGGGCGCCTCATTGGAGAGCTGAGTGAAAGAGTTACACGGACTCCCCACTCCCCTGAGATGCCTGTGTGTGCTTCAGCAGCAACACTCCCCTGCATCTATCAGAGTCTCCTCCCTGGGTCCACACATAGAAAATGCCACCTCTGTCTGTCAGTTTTCTGCAGGGACCTGGGAAAAATAGCAGAAAGCCCGGCCTCAGATTTGGATCTCATTGGTAGGACCTAGGAGTATGGTCAGTGGTGCTGTCGGGGGAGAGTAGGTATCTGCCGTCTGCTATGCTAACCTCCATTCTGCTTGTCATAACCATCTGTTTCTCAAAAGCAGTGGAACAGAGGGCCAGAGCCTGGTCCCCATGATTTCCTGCTTGTCATGGTTTGCTTCCTTCCAGCAGATGCCATGTAGCCAGGAGGCAGAGTGCAGGCCACCCTAGGTGGCTGGAAAAGGTTGGTAGCCAAAGCTCGGTGGCCTCGGTGCTGCTGCTTCAGAAGATCCGGGCATGGGGGTTAGGGACCTAGGCAACTTGTTTAACCTCTCTGTATCCCAGCTCACAAATGGGTCTTATAATCATTGCCATAGAAGGGTATTGTGAGAATCAAATGAAAGGAGAGCACTGGGAAATGCCTACCTTGCATGTACTTCCCAAAACAGACAGGCCAGCTGCAAAGGAGTGTGCCATGGGAGGGCTGGGGCTGTGTGTTTGAGCTGGAAGAATCAAATGACAGCAGTTTGAGGAAAAGCGGGAAGCAAGTCACCCCATCATTCAGTGACTCTTGATGATAAAAATGGAACAGGCCTGAGGGAATACTGACATTTTTGTATGCCTTTGTTTTCTTCTTGGGTTTTTTTTCTCGAGCTCAGAGAAGCACCTCCCACTTCACATGCCTTCCTCCTCCATCACTGACAGCTGAGAGCCCAGGAGGAGAGGGAGTGCTACAGTGCGGTTTTTCGTTATCACCTCCTCCCTCAGTCTAGCTCTCTGCATTCACCACTCCTTGGCTCTTCTGTGTCATGCGACTGAAGCTGTGGGGTCTCTGCAGGGGAAATGTTTTCCCAGGAAGTGTTTAGGGGTGGATTTGAGGCTCCCAACATGTCTTAGTCCCTGAGTGGGAATTAATTGTGCCCAGATCAACCCTCCTGGCAAAGACTGGAGATGCTCAGACCCTTGGGCAGCATATTTAGTAATTCAATGCACCCCAAATGCCTGTGTGTCACTTTCCCAGTTACCCTTCTGATCATTCCCCTCCCAGGACTGATGAAACATTTCCCATCTCCTCCCGATACCCACCTTCCCTTTCTACAACCTCCTCTTTCCTACTTTCCTATGTCCAGATTAAAGGGACAGTCAGTGGAGTGGGGAGGGGAGGGGTCGGAGAGTGGCTGAGTCGATCATCTGATAACAGCTGAGAGGGGAGAGGGTGAAAGAAGGGCAGCTTCAGCTGGTGGCCATGCAATTTGAGGGATTGGTGGAGTCCTGGAGCTGAGCTCCTGATGAAATCCGGTGTTCTTCTGCTCTGAAGGACATTTCTGGGGTCCAGAGCTAGAGGAGAATGGAGAGGAAGGACTGGCTATGAGATCAGCATGCGGATGAAACAAACAAGCAACAGACTTGCTGTGGGTTTCCCTGAATTGCTTTGCCTCTGATAATCTGGTCTTGCACAACCAGTTCCCCCCAGGGTTTAGGGTATGCAACTCATTTACTGCTTGAACCCCCTAAATGGAAGTAGCAGACCAGCAAGGGGTGGGCTTTGAAGTCAGAGATACTAGGATTCCATACCTCATTCTGTTCCTTACTATTGTGTGCCTGCTGGCAATTCCCGTAGCCCTTCCACACCTCAGTTTCCCCATCTAAAGAGGAGAATAATAAGGCAACTTACCATATAGTGCTGTTGTAGAGATTCAGTGAGACAATGCCATGTTAAAGCTGATGGTACCCAGCGCATAGGGCTTAATAAATTATAGCTGATGCTAATACTGTAAGTATGATTGCCACTACCTACTCTAAAACGACTTATTTGACTTCGCACGAAGTTAATTGCTCTTTCCTCTGTGTTACTCCATCCCTTGAGCCTCTGTTTACAACCCTGATTTGTTGTTGTTGTTGTTTTGAGACAGGGTCTTGCTCTGTCGCCCAGGCTAGGGTGCAGTGGTACAATCTCAGCTCACTGCCTCCTCCACTTCTGCTACAACCCTGATCTTGCTGCATGATCATTGTTAGCATGGCTTTCTCCCTCGGCACACTGGGCACTCTCCGGAGCCAGGCTCTGTGCTTTTTTGCCATTGTATCGTTCTTCATGCCTAGCATATATTGTAGGAGCTCAGCACATATTTGTAGAATGGATGAGTGGGCAAATGGATCAAAATATCTGAGATTATGGCCTGTTTCTGCAAGCAGGCTACGAAGCTTTCTCCATAGGCTTTTAACCTGTTGATGTAAAGCCCTTTTAGTCAAAGCCCTGCCTGGGCTCACCAGGTCGGTAAACATTGATTCCGTGGTTCCTTTTGGCTGTGGTGACTCAGCATTGACAAGCTGGCCAGCTCCTTGTGGATTGGGGCTCTGTGAGTGTTTACCAGGCCCCACACTACCAGGTTGGGGCAGCTTTCTCTTGTCTGACCCATAAAGCCGGGCCCGCCTCCTCATTTCCCTGTGAGCACCAAGCTCAAAACCTATTTGTCCTTTGCCTTTCTTTCCTCTTTCCCTAGCCCTACCACTGCCATTCAGAAAGTATTTATTAAGCACCTACTATGCACAGGGCACCAGACCACATACATGAGCCATTGATCACATACTTTTTTTTTTTGAGTTGGAATCTCGCTCTGTTGTCAGGCTGGAGTGCAGTGGCATGATATCAGCTCACCGTAACCTCTGCCTCCCAGGTTCAAACAATTCTCCTGCCTCAGCCTCCTGAGTAGCTGGGACTACAGGCACGCACCACCACACCCAGCTAATTTTTGTATTTTTTTAGTAGAGGCGGGGTTTCACCATGTTGCCCAGGATGGTCTCAATCTCTTGACCTTGTTATCCACCTGCCTTGGCCTCCCAAAGTGCTAGGATTACAGACATGAGCCACCTTGCCTGGCCTTTTTTTTTTTTTTTGAGACAGAGTCCTGCTCTGTTGCCCAGGCTGGAGGGCAATGGTGCAATCTCAGCTCACTGCAACCTCCACCTCCTGGGTTCAAGCAATTCTCCTGCCTCACCCTCCCAAGTAGCTGGGACTAGATATGTGCCACCATGCCTGGCTAAGTTTTTGTATTTTCAGTAGAGCCAGGGTTTCACTGTGTTAGCCAGGATGGTCTCGAACTCCTGACTTCGTGATCTGCCCGCCTCAGCCTCCCAAAGTGCTGGGATTACAGGCGTGAACCACCACGCCTGGCCATCACATACTATCTTATATGACTTGAAATGTGTCATTTGGGCTTCCCCAACAACACTGTAAACTCCTAGAGAGCAAGGGAGCTTGTCTTCTGCTGCTTCTGTCTGCTTTACAGCACCTACAGCAGAACCCAGCATGGTCATGTGAGTAAATCCTTAGTGACTTGCTTTCTAGGCTCATGAGTTCAGTGTGAGCTCTTGCCCCAGGGAAGGATGAGAACAAGGACAGTACACCTCAGTCGGCTGTGTGGTCTCAGTACAGACCTAATCTCGGGGCTCTTGCACTCCAGGGAGGGTGAAGGAGCAGTGATCCCAGACCCTTTGGTTCTCCTTTATTCTCTCCATCCACACAGAACCCTCCTTCCACTCCCCGATCTTCCAAAGGCTCTTCCCCTCAGCAGCAACTGTGAATAGCAAATAGCTTGGTAATCTGTGTATCTGCTTATTATTCTGCTTATTTTCTCTCTTTGTTCCCAATGCATTCAACCATGTCATTGTTACCCTCTATTGTGAATTTCTGAATAGCAGAAGCTTGGACTAGGCCTCTTATCCTCACGTAGTTTGGGAACTTCATAAATGCGTGTTGGTGATGATGACAGTGGGGGACATTGCAGGGTGAGGGCTTGGGGCCCCGGCGATGAACAGCAGTTTGGTTGTGTAATGCTCAGTGCCTTTCTTCTGCAGTTCTCAGCTTTCGTTTGCCTTCGGTTTCAGGCCCACCTGCCTTTTGCTGTCATCGGCAGCACAGAAGAACTGAAGATAGGCAACAAGATGATGAGGGCGCGGCAGTATCCTTGGGGCACTGTGCAGGGTGAGTGAGTCTCCAGGAGAGGGGCAACACACAGGAAGCCCCTTTTGTCTGTCTGTTTGTCCCCGGCCACTATATGACAAGTTTCTAAATTGTCATATGTCTCATTTGGTATGGGTCCCAAATAGCCATAGGAATCACTAGCAAACTAACTCTGGCTCTGTATCAGGATGCTCTGATGAGAGCAAGCTCCCTCTGTCTCTAATGGGAAAAGTATTCCTAAAACACAAGGACTTGCAAGGTAGGAAGGAGTGCATCAGAAAGCATGTGTACTTGCCCGAATGCAGCAGGAGATGTACAAGAAGGTTCACAGTAGTGTTGTTCATAATGACAAATAATTACAAACAATCCAGATATCCATTAAAATAGACTGAATAGTGGGAGAGTAGGAGGGGGGTAAGGGTTTTTAAAAACCTACACGTAACCCCAGCATGTTGGGAGGCCGAGGCGGGTGGATCACCTGAGGTCAGGAGTTCGAGACTAGCCTGGGCAACATGGAGAAACCCCATCTCTACTAAAAACACAAAATTAGCTTGGCTTGTTGGTGCATTCCTGTAATCCCAGCTACTCAGGAGGCCGAGGCAAGAGAAGTGCTTGAACCCAGGAGGCAGAGGTTGCGGTGAGCCGAGATTGTGCTATTGCACTCCAGCCTGGGCAAGAAGAGCGAAACTCCATCTCAAAAAAGATAAAAACAACAAAAACACTACATATTGGGGCTGAGCGTGGTGGCTCACACCTGTAATCCTAGTACTTTGGGAGGCCGAGGCAGGCAGATCACTTGAGGTCAGGAGTTCAAGACCAGCCTGGACAACATCGTGAAACCTGTCTCTACTAAAAATATAAAAATTAGTTTGCCGTGGTGGCATGTGCCTGTAATCCCAGCTACTCAGGAGGCTGAGGCAGGAGAATCGCTTGAACCCCAGAAAGCAGAGATTGCAGTGAGCAGAGATTGCATCACTGCACTCCAGCCTGGATGACAGAGTGAGACTGTCTCAAAAAAAAAGAAATACATATTGGGTATAATGCACACCACTCAGCTGATGGGTGCACCACACTTCACCACTATACAATTTATCCATGTAACTAGAACCAAAAATACTCCAAAAAGCTACTGAAATTTTAAAAAATTAAAATAATATTTTAAACAATTAGAATTATTTTTAAAATTATAATCTTTAACATAAAGTTTGAATACCTAAATATTTTTAAAGCACTGCAGAATATTCATATAATGGGGTATTATATAACAGCAAAAATGAATTAACTATAGTTATATCTCCATGAATATATCTCAGAAACATAGCATTGACCTAAATAAATCATAGAAAAATACATACTGTTGGGCCAGGTGCAGTGGTTCATGCCTATAATCCCAGCACTTTGGGAGGCCAAGGCAGGAGGATCACCTGAGGTCAGGAGTTCAAGACCAGCCTGGCCAACATGGTGAAACCCCCATCTCTACTAAACATACAAAAAAAATTAGCCAGGTGTGGTGGCATGTGCCTGTAGTCTCACCTACTCAGGAGGCTGAGGCAGGAGAATCACTTGAACCTGGGAAGTGGAGGTTGCAGTGAGCCAAGATTGCACCACTGCACTCCAGCCTGGGTGACAAAGCAAGACTCAAAAAAAACAAAAGTAAGAAAGAAAAAAATGCATACCATTGGATTCCCTTCGTATGTAATCCAAAAGGAGGCAAAACTAAACAAGATATATCTATTTTTAGGAATGTGTACATAAGAGGTGAAACTATTAAGAAAAAGAAAGGAATGATAATCCCCAAAGTCAAGAGAGGGGTTAAGTCTCATTGCCAGGGGAGTGGGGGGGATAGAGGGGCATGAGATTGGGAAGGGGCACTCAGGGACTTCCAAGGTACTGGTAATGTTTAACCTGAGTTGTGGACATGTTGGTGTTAATTTTTCAAAAATTCGTTAAATTGCACATATACATTTTATGTTCTCTTTTGTATGTCTGATTATTTCATGATTGAAAATCAATCATTTATATTGTATTACACTCAGGGAAATTCCTTCTGTGATCTGCCTGACATATGTTAACTTACCCTCGGTGCTAGTTGGGTTAATGAGTAAGACAAGGCCTAGGACAGTGCTGTGGGCAGAAGAGGTCTCTGGTCCTCAGAGTCTCCAGCTAGAAACTGGGCTGTGGCCTATAGGGGCATCGTGTGAAAGAGTGGCTGGTTCTCTGTAAACTCATCCCTACCATTAAGAAAACACCTGAAAGTGGGCGGCGAGTTGTCCACATCACGTATGAAGGCTGGCATGTTTTAGGACACCCCACAGACCCACTGGCAACAGCTGGATTTTCCATAGGTAGGAAAAGACTGGTTATCAGAGCTATGTTACATCTGGTCTCTGCCATTCGGAGCTGGGAGTGCTCCACTAGGAACGTTTACGAATGGTTTCTGGACCCACAGTCCCACCCTGGGAATGGATTTGTGGTCTGAGAAACAGGAACCTGAAGTGAGATGAGGAGAAGCCAGTAGACGTGGTTCCAGTGACTGACTTCGTCTGATGTGGACTACCCCGAACCTAACCAAAAAAGGGGATTTTGAAAGGTTTTCTTGTAAGTCTGAGTTGACTGTTCTGCTTAAATGAGGAAGAAGTTGAGTATTGCTTAGGCAGCCTGCAGGGGCCTTGGAGTCACTCCTTCTGACTGACCACCAGTGATCACCGTCCAGAGATGGAGGAGGAGATGGCATATAGCATAGCCCTGAGAAGTTGTCTTACTGATGTCATTTTTAATATTAGCCTGTGTTCTACGACAGCAGGGGGCTTTATTCCTAATGCAATGGGTCTGAAGCAGAAGGATTATGTGAGCTGATTTGGGCTTTGGAAAGATTACTCTAGTGACCACAAGGCAGTCTGCTTCAACTACGGCTGACTGCTCATCCCAGACCCCCTCTCTGCCCCCTCTACCCTCTTCCAGAGCCTGTAAGACAGAATCTAGGGTGTTCTAAGATTTTCCAGATTTTGAAAAATCTGGCCTGTTCATCACTTCAGGCACCATTTTTCCTACTTGGTCAAGCCAAATACCACCATCCAACACGGCGAAGACACACCTGTAGCAACCTTGACAAAGTGCTGCGCATGACTTGGTCCAGCCAGAAATCGATTTTGCTATGACTTGGTCCACGTCTGTCATTCTTGACCACTGCCTAAAATGCACACCTTTGCTTGCACCCTTTTGAGGAGGAGGCTTGTTCACATAGGCCAGAAAGTGGGGTCCCCTTGCTCCTAGTCACCATTGCTACTGTCAGGCCATTATCTACCCTCTAAAGAAACCACCTCCTTGGAAGCTACTACATCCAGGTGGGCTGTGCCTGTGGTCCACACCCCTCCTTGTCACTGTCATCTATCAATATCCTAATTCTTTCCCCTTATTCTTTGGAGGCTTTGTCATGTGGTCATAGCCTTTGCCTCCCCTACATTGCCTAGGTTTGAACCCTAACTCTGCAACTTATTAGTTACATAACCTTGCCTAACCTCATTGACACCTTGCAAGCACCATTCCCTTCTCTGCCTGATAAATTCCTATTCTTCCTTCCAGAGTCATCTTACGGGTTTTCTCTTCGGTGAAGTCTTCACTTTCCCAGGAGCTCTTAGGCCCCCCTCTTCTGAGCTTTCATTGCAACTTGGCTTTCCCTCCATTTTTGTAATTTTGCATTGAATTGTATTTGTCTGTTTGCATCTATTCTTTCTCTAAACTGTAAGCTCCTAAGAGCAAGATTCCATGACTTCATTTCTGAATTCCCAGTGCCTCACACATACTGGGAACAGAGATTCCACAAATATTGATTGGATGGTTGGTTGGATAGATGGATGGATGGATAAATGGATGGATGAATGGATGGATGGATGGATGGATGAACATATGGGTGGACTGATGGATGGGTGGACGGATAGATGGATGAGTGGATAGATGGATGGACGAATGGGTGGATGGATGGATGGATAGATGCATATGTGCTGTTGTCCTATAAGTGGTGCATACCAAACATTCTTTTGAGGGTTCTGACTGCTGAGTTTGGATTATGGTGCTACTGACTGTCTTAATAAGTATTTTTATGATATCACAGTTTTTTATTACTGCCATTTTTGTAACTTTTCATTTGCATTTTCAGTAGAAAAGAGAGGAAGTAAATTCACAGGCTCTAAATACACAGATTGCAAGGCAACACCACGTTAGACATTTTGCCTCTCGTTTCATCCATTTCTGCTTCTGCTGGCCTTCCTTTCAACATACTTTCAATACCCCAAACCCCGCTATGCAGTTGAAAACGAGGCCCACTGCGACTTTGTGAAGCTGCGTGAGATGCTGATTCGGGTCAACATGGAGGATCTGCGGGAGCAGACCCACACCCGGCACTATGAGCTGTATCGCCGCTGTAAGCTGGAGGAGATGGGCTTCAAGGACACCGACCCTGACAGCAAACCCTTCAGGTACCACTCCTGCCAGCCCAGCCCAGCCCAGCTCAGCTCAGCCCACCCACGCGGTGTGGAAGCCTTGCCCTGGAGGATTCACAGGGGAGGCAAGACACGGCCAGTTGTGCTTGCCTGTGCACCCTCTGCCTCTGCATGCCTGCCAGGAGAGCTGTGGGGCACAGGCTTGGAAAGCAAGCCTTGCTTTTAAGGGCAAGCAAAGGGAAGAGGCCCAGAGGACCAGCAAGGCTGATCACCACACACACATGCACGCATCCTGGACAGCTCCAAGGAGCTGCGCTGGAGGGGATCCCCAAGCTGAGGCCCTGTTCCATGGGGTGGCAGTTTGTAACTGTCCTCTGCCCCTCTTTCTTCATCAGGTGCCTCAGACAGGTTTGCAGTCTGTTCTTTACCCACCTCCCTATTGTCAAACCCAGATAGGACCAGGTAGCAATCCCTTGGCTGCATTGATGAACTGCAGGCTCTTCAATGGTTGTCCTTAGTGTCTGCATTCAAGTGCAAGTTCTGTTTTGACCATAGGATGTTGATTATCATTGGCATCTTTCTCAAATCAGAATGCTTAGAGAGAAGGGGAATGTTTTTGAAAGCAGGTTATTATGCAGAGAGGAGTGGTATGCCAAGTAGATGCATCTGATCTCTATGAGTGATGTCTGAAATCAGCCCCACAGCTGAAATTACCACGTGGTGCCCTTTATTGTGGTCAGGAATTAATAAGCAAGTGAGGGAGATGTCTATGGGTTAAAAAGACTTTCAACGAGCCTCTGAGATCTTACACTACCTGTTCACAGCCTAAAGTTGGCCTGGGAGCAGACCCTAACCAGTCCCTTGGGGATACTTGATTCAAGAGGGACAGGCTGATGCCCTATACTGACAGGTGGGGCCAGGGGCCACTGGCGCACCTGGGGTTGAGGGAAGGCATGCTTGTCTCTTTCTGGTGGGAGCTGCCTGGCTCTCTTCCCCACCCGCAGCTTTCATCTGCATTTGTAGAGGAGTAGGTGCGCCCCCACCTGGTCATTTGGTCTCCTTCCCTCCATCCTGAATACCTTCGCCTTCACTCCTCTGCCAGCTCCTTCCCATGCTGCATGTAAGCATTCCTGTGCTAAAGAAACTCTCTCTTAACCCTGCTCTTTCTTACCAGCCTCTGCCCTGTCTGTCAAGAGGTTCTTGACAGGATGAGAAGGAGAAAGAGTTGTTCTATATTTACTGGTTTCTCTTCCCCATCTCTCATTCATTCTTCAACCCAGTGCAGTCTGGCTTCTGCCCCCAGCATAACCACTAAAATGCCTCTCTCCAAGGCCAGGAATCTCAGACTTGCGGCCAAGTTCAGTGTGGCCTTTGGGTTCCATCTTACTTGATCTCAACACAGCACTTTATGCCATTCCCCACTGCTCCTTGAGATGCTCTCTGCCTTTGGCTTTTCTAGCACTTGGCTGGCTGATTCTGTTCCTCTCTCTCCTGCTATCTTCTCAGCCTCCTTTGCAGGCTCATTTTCTTTACCTTATTGCTTTAAACGTTGATATACCCGCTGGGGTTCTTTCCTAGGGCCTCTGCTCCTTTCACTTTCTGTTCTCTTTGCAGCTGGTTCTTTCACTCTCACAGCCCTGATTACCGCCTAGAAGTAGATGACTCCCAAGCTAGTTTTACTTCTGAGGTCTAAACCCATTAATCCAATTGCATCCTGGAAATTTCCACTCAGACATCCCATAGAGGACTTTCCTGAAAACCAAGCTGTGAACAATTGAATTCATCTTCTTCCCTCTTAAGCATGCTTCTCCAACATTCCCTGTTGCCATTCATGATACCAACAACCACCTGGTTGCCCAAGGATAATCAGAATTATCTTGGGCTCCTCCCAAGTCCTAGGAGTTCTGCTTCCCTTACTGCTCCCTCCATTCCCTCCCAGCCCTTAAGATTCTGTCACTTTATTTTTTTTTTTGAGACAGAGTCTTGCTCTGTCGCCCGGGCTGGAGTACAATGGCGCAATCTTGGCTCACTGCAACCTGCACCTCCTGGGTTCAAGCAAGTCTCCTGCCTCAGCCTCCCAAGTAGCTGGGGCTACAAGCGCCTGCCACCACGCCTGGCTAATTTTTTTTTTTTTTTTTTTTTTTTGAGAAAGAGGTGCCAGGCTGGAGTGCAGTGGTGCGATCTCGGCTCACTGCAACCTCCGCCTCCCACGTTCGAGCAATTCTCCTGCCTCTGCCTCCCGAGTAGCTGGGACTACAGGCACATGCTACCACAGCCAGCTAATTTTTGTATTTTTTAAAATAGAGACGGGGTTTCACCATGTTGGCTAGGGTGGTCTCGATCTCTTGAGCTTGTGATCCACCTGCCTCGGCCTCCCAAAGTGCCAGGATTACAGGCGTGAGCCACTGCCCCCAGCCTAATTTTTTTATTTTTAGTAGAGACAAGGCTTCACTATGTTGGCCAGGCTGGTCTCGAACTCCTGACCTCAAGTAAGCCGCCTGCCTCAGCCTCCCAAAATGCTGGGATTACAGGTGTGAGCCACCGCCTCTGGCCAAGATCCTATCACTTCTTACTTGGATTGATGGAAAATCTGTCCTTCCCACAACACAGCCAGTGGTCCTTCTCATTTTCAAATTGGATCTGGTATGACTTCCTACTTTAAAACCATGCAGTGCATACATGTCTAATTTTAAATATGGCATCCAAAGCTGTTCTCTTCTACCAGGCTCAGGAACTTCATCTCCCTCTACTCCACCACTACCATGGTGTTCTTTGGCCGTGTTGAACCACACCTGGCTCCCCAAGAATGTCATTCTCTCTCCACATGTGCTTTCTTACATGCTGCCCTATTTGGAGCACAGTTCCCCCTCTTCTTTACCAGGCTATGTCCTATTTCTTTCTTTCTTTTTCTTTTATTGTGTGTGATGGAGTCTCACTCTGCTGCCCAGGTTGCAGTGCAAGTGGTGCAATCTCGGCTTACTGCAACCTCCGCCTAGCAGGTTCAAGCAATTCTCTTGCCTCAGCCCCCCGAGTAGCTGGGATTACAGCCACCTACAACCATGCCTAGCTAATTTTTTGTATTTTTTAGTAGAGACAGTGTTTCACCATGTTGGCCAGGCTAGTCTCAAACTCCTGACCTCAGGTGATCCACCTGCCTTGACTTCCTGGAGTGCTTGACTTCCACTGCGCTCAGCCTCCTATTTCTTTAAAAATTAGCTCAGGCTGGCTGGGTACAGTGGCTCATGCTGGTTATCCCAGCACTTTGGGAGGCAAAGGTGGATGGATCATGAGGTCAAGGGATGGAGATGATCCTGGCCAACATGGTAAAATCCGGTCTCTATCAAAAATACAAAAATTAACTGGGCATGGTGGTGCATGCCTGTCGTCCCAGCTACTCTGGACGCTGAGGCAGGATAATCTCTTGAACCTGGGAGGTGGAGGTTGCAGTGAGCCAAGATTGTGCCACTGCACTGCAGTCTGGTGACAGTGAGACTCTGTCTCAAAAAAAAAAAAAAAAAAAACAAGAAAGAAAGAAAAAGAAGTTTAAGCCAGGCATATCTCCCACTAGAATATGAATTCCTTGATGGCAGGTATGGTGGCTGCTGGCTCTAGAGGCTGAGTGAGTAGCATCATGTCAATTGGTACTGTGTCTAGCACATATGGAGTCTCCTCAAGCATTTGTTGAAATAGTTCATTAATGTGGTCAGTTTCAGAGCCAGGGCCTGGCAGCATTGTGCAGTGGGAAGACCCTGATGAAGAGACAGGAGACCCAGCTTCTGGTCAAAGGTCTGCCTCTAACTAGCTGTGGGGCCTGAGCAAGACACCTCACCTCTCTGGGCATCAGTTTTCTCATCTGTAGGACAAGAGTATAAAACCAGATATTCTGAGTCTCTCCAGTTCACTAGGGTAGCCCCATCCCCCTCCAGAAGCCCTGTGGGCATGCTATCATGGGCCAACCGGTGCCCACAGCTTTGTGGTTCTATTTTTGTACCTGGCTCGTAACTGGGGAAGGGAGGATGGAGGAACCCAGGGAGGATCTTTGGGGCCAGTTTTATCAAATAGGAGCCATTCCAAAGGAAGAGGAATTAACCTGACCATGTTCGCAGTTTACAGGAGACATATGAGGCCAAAAGGAACGAGTTCCTGGGGGAACTCCAGAAAAAAGAAGAGGAGATGAGACAGATGTTCGTCCAGAGAGTCAAGGAGAAAGAAGCGGAGCTCAAAGAGGCAGAGAAAGAGGTAAATGTGAGCCTGGTGATTATTAAAACATCAAGAAACAACAGTTGTTGTGAGGCTGTGGAGAAATAGGAATGCTTTTACACTGTTGGTGTGAATGTAAATTAGTTCAGCCTTTGTGGAAGACAGTGTGGTGATTCCTCCAAGACCTGAAACCAGAAATACCATTTTACCCAACAATCCTATAGATCATTCTGTTATAAAGATACATGCACACATATGTTCACTGCAACACTATTCACAATAGCAAAGACATGGAATCAACTCAGATGCTCATCAGTGATAGACTGGATAAAGAAAATGTGGTACATATATACCATGGAATACTATGCAGTCCTAAAAAGGAATGAGAGGATGTCCTTTGCAGGGACATGGATGGAGATGGGAGCCATTATCCTCAGCAAACTAACACAGGAACAGAAACCCAAACATCAGGCCAGGGGCTGTGGCTCACACCTGTAATCCCAACACTTTGGGAGGCTGAGGCAGGCGGATCAACTGTGGTCAGGAGCTCGAGACCTGGCTGGCAAACATGGTGAAACCCTGTCTCTACTAAAAGTGCTACAATTAGGCAAGTGTGATGGTGCATGCCTGTAGTCCCAGCTACTTGGGAGGCTGAGGCAGGAGAATTGCTTGAGTCTGGAAGGCAGAGGTTGCAGTGAGCCAAGATTGTGCCACTGCACTCCAACCTGGGTGACGGAGTGAGACTCCATCTCAAAAAGAAAACCAAACACTACATGTTCTCACTTATAAGTGGGAGCTGCATTATGAGAACACATGGACACAGGGAGGGGAATAATACACACTGGGGCCTGTCATGGGGACAGGGGGAGGGAGAGCATTGGGATAAATAGCTAATGCATTCGAGGCTTACTACCTAGGTGATGGGTTAATAGGTACAGCAAACCACCATGGCACATGTTTACCTATGTAATAAACCTACATATCTGGCACATGTACCCTGGAACTTAAAATTAAAAAGAAAATGTGAGCCTAGGTGCCAGGCAGGAAGAGAAAGGAGGCTGAACATGGCATGGAAACCCATGACGGGCTTCTGCCTTGGGTGAACAGCCTTGCAGACTCTGGGCAGGAATGGAGCTCAGCCTCTGTAGACTTGCCTTGGCTGGCACTGAGGAAGCTGTGAGAGCTGTGTCTCCTTGACCACCTCATTTCTAAGGCTGGGTTGTTTTCCCATTGTGTTACTTAATTCTCTAGAGCATCGCTGTCCCATATGGTAGCTGTTAATCACATGTGACTATTTAATTTTTTGGAATTCTTTGTATTTTATTTTTAATTGACAATAATTGTATATATTATACAATTATTTGGCTTCCCAAAGTGCTGGGATTGAGCCGAGTGCTAGGATTACAGGTGTGAGCCACTGCGCCTGGCCCACAATATTCTTGAGTTTCTGGTTCTATTCAGGACTAGTTAAGCCTCCCTTTAGTTCAGGCTGAGGTGTCTGGACGCATTCCATGTCATAAAGTCCTTTTATTTCCTTCCACGTCCAAAGCCAACGTGATGTTTCATCGTGGAATGCTTACATCAAGCAAATTAGCAAATGGATCATCATCTCACAAACTTACCTTTTTTTTGTGGTAAAAACACTTTAAGTCTACTCTTTTTGGCTGGGCATGGTGTAATCCTAGCACTTTGAGAGGCCAAGGCAGGAGAATCACTTGAGGCCAGGAATTTGAGACCAGCCTGGGCAAAAAAAAAAAAAAAAAGTGAGACCCCCATCTCTACAAAAAATAAAAAAATTAGTTGGGAAGGGTGGCACATGTCTGTATCCCAGCTACGAGGGAGCCTGAGGTAGGAGAATCGCTTGAGCCAGGAGCTCGAGGCTGTAGTAAGCTATGATCATACCACTGCACTCGAGCCTGGGTGACATAACAAGACCCTGTCTCAATCAATCAATCAATCAGTGAAATCTACTCTTTTAGCAATTTCAAAATATATAATAAAATTTAAAACTCAGTTCGTCAATCATGTTAGCCACGTTTCAAAAGCTCACCCCTCATGCACCTAGTGACTAATACTAAACAGCACAGATATAGAACATTTCTGTTGTCACAGAAAGCTCTACTAGGGCCAGGCACGGTGGCTAATGCCTGTAATCCCAGCACTTTGGGAGGCCGAGGCAGGCAGATCACTTGAGGCCAGGAGTTTAAGAGCAGCCTGGCCAACATGGTAAAACTCCATCTGTACTAAAAATACAAAAAAAAATTAGCTGGGTATGGTAGCGCGTACCTGTAATCCCAGCTACTCGGGAGGCTGAGGTGAGAGAATCACTTGAATTGGGAAGCAGAGGCTGCAGTAAGCTGAAATGGCACCACTGCACCCTAGCCTGGGCAACTGAGCAAGACTCCACCTCCAAAAAAAAAAAAAAAAAGAAAGCCCTATTGAGCAGTGCTGCTGCTATAGAGTTGGGCTTTTGAGATTGGGTGTGAGCTAATTCTTTTCCTTCTTCTTCTTCTTTTTTTTTTTTTTTGAGACAGTTTAGCTCTTGTTGCCCAGGCTGGAGTGCAATGGTGCAATCTCAGCTCACTGCAACTTCCACCTCCCAGGTTCAAGCAAATCTCCTGCCTCAGCCTCCCAAGTAGCTGGGATTACAGGCATGCGCCACCACACCTGGTTAATTTTTGTAGTTTTAGTAGAGACGGTGTTTCACCAAGTTGGCCAGGCTGGTCTCGAACTTCTGACCTCAGGTGATCCACCTGCCTCGGCCTCTCAAAGTGCTGGGATGACAGGCATCAGCCACTGCACCCAGCCATTCTTTTTCTTCTTCCTGGGAGTTTGGAGCTCAGTATGGACAACTGATCACTTTCTTGTCTTTTCTGCCCCATCCTAACTTCTCTGATGGCTGTGAGGAAAGGTGGTCTCAGGCAGTCCTATGTACTTTGCTGAAACTTAAGACAGCTATTATTGTTCCCATTCATTTGGATATTCTGTTCTATTTCATTTTAGAAATAAAGAAACACTGGCTGGGCACGGTGGCTCATGCCTGTAATTCTAGCACTTTGGGAGGCCGAGGTGGGTGAATTTTGAGGTCAGGAAACCAAGACCATCCTGGCCAACGTGGTGAAACCCCATCTCTACTAAAAATACAAAAATTAGCTGTGCGTAATGGCAGGTGCCTGTAATCCCAGCTACTCAGGAGGCAGGAGAATCACTTGAACCAGGGAGTCGGAAGTTGCAGTGAGCCGAGATTGATTGCGCCACTGCACTCCACTCCAGCCTGGCGACAGAGCAAGACTCCGTCTCAAAAAAAAAAAAAAAAAAAAAAGAGTGAGGTAGAGAAAGAGAAAGAGAGATAAAGAAACATCTGTATAACACTACTGGGTTTTTAAAGTAAGGAGTTTTCACTACTGAAGCTATGCCTAGGCGCATGTAGTTAGCCTTCTATCCCATGGCCTTGCCTAGTCTAAGGTCTCCCCTACCAGCTTAGCTACTGCTGCCAGATTAATTGGCCTAAGGTGCAGTCTTGGTCATGTCAGCCATTGCTTCTCCTCTCTGCACCTCAAAACCCTCAACTATAAAGAAAGGAAGTACTTGGCCAGGCACAGTGGCTCACACCGTAATCCCAGGACTTTGGGAGGCCAAGGCAGGTGTATCACCTGAGGTCAGGAGTTTGAGACCAGCCAGGACAACATGGTGAAACACTGTCTCTACTAAAAAATATAAAAATTAGCCAGGCATGGTGGAGGGCACCTGTGATCACAGCTACTTGGGAGGCTGAGGCAGAAGAATCGCTTGAACCCAGGCGGTGGAGGTTGCAGTGAGCTGAGATTACACCACTGAACCTCAGCCTGGGCAACAAGAGTGAGACTGTCTCAAAAAAAAAAAAAAGGAAAAGAAAGAAAAAGAAAGGAAGCACTTAATTACTTCACGAGTCTTTTCCACATTTAACCTGTTGTACTCTCAAGGGTTGTCACCAAAGCCCATGACAAGGGTATCGATTTTTTCAGTTTCGCTTAAAAAAAGTGAGATAGGTGCCTTGGCTCAGGCCCATAATCCCAGCACTTTGCAAAGACAAGGCGGGAGGATTGCTTGAGCCCAGGAGTTCAAGACCAGCCTGGGCAACATAGTGAGACTCTATATTAAAAATACAAAAAATTAGCCAGGCATGGTGGCACGTGCCTGTAGTAGTCTCAGCTACCCAGGAGGCTGAGGTGGGAGGATTGCTTGAGCTGAGAGATCGAGGCCACTGCATTCTAGCCTGGGTTTCAGAGTGACACTCTGTCTCAATTAAAAAAAAAGAAAAGAAAAAAATATCAGCACTTTTAGGAGGCGAAGTGAAGGGATCTCAAAGACAAATGTATAAAAGTACAATGAACAAAAGCCAGGTTAAGGCAACTAATAGGCAGCCCAAATGACTAGTAAAAGCTGGCTTCTATAGCAGGTCTGTCACTCACCTACCTAAGTGACAGTGTCAAATACCCACAGGACCCAGAAAACAAACTCCTTCATGGTATGCTGCAAGTGCTACAGAATCCTAAACTCTCTCCTGAATCCATGAAACAAAGTGAAATTGGGCTGGGCGCGGTGGCTCACGCCTGTAATCCCAGCTCTTTGGGAGGCCAAGGCGGGTGGATCACGAGGTCAAGAGATCAAGACCATCCTCGTCAACATGGTGAAACCCCGTCTCTACTAAAAATACAAAAAATTAGCTGGGCACGGTGGTGCTTGCCTGTAATCCCAGCTACTCCGGAGGCTGAGGCAGGAGAATTGCCTGAACCCAGGAGGTGGAGGTTGCGGTGAGCCGAGATTGCACCATTGCACTCCAGCCTGGGTAACAAGAGTGAAACTCCGTCTCAAAAAAAAAAAAAAAAAAGTGAAATTTTGCTCGCTCTGCTCTTACTATTCAAAGTAGTTTATTGCATTCTAGTCTGTGACTGCCTGTGCCTCTTGTTCTCTGATCTACTTATCAAAATGGCATGCCAGAATATTCTTTTGTGTTTTTTTTTTTTTTTTTTCTGGAGACAGTCTCACTTTGTTGCCCAGGCTGGAGTGCAGTGGTGCAATCTCGGCTCACTGCAAGCTCTGCCTCCTGATTCAAGCGATTCTTCTGCCTCAGCCTCCGGAGTAGCTGGGATTACAGGTACATGCCACTATGCCTAGCTGATTTTTGTATTTTTAGTAGAGATGAGGTTTCACCATGATGGCCAGGCTGGTCTCGAACACCTGACCTCATAATCCACCCACCTCGGCCTCCCAAAGTGTTGGGATTGAGCCTAGTGCTGGGATTACAGGTGTGAGCCGCTGCACCTGGCCCACAGTATTCTTGGGTTTCTGGTTCCATTCAGGACTAGTTAAGCCTCCCTTTAGTTAAGCTGAGGTGTTTGGACTCATTCCATGTCATAAAGTCCTTTTATTTCCTTCCACGTCCAAAGCCAAGTATTTCCATCGACTGGTTTTGCCATTACTCAAGTTTTCTCTGCGATTCATGGTGATCCTCCCTGACTGCAGGGGTTAAGAAAAGACAGGGGTCCCTTACATACAAGAGGTCTTGTTATCTAATGCTCTAAATACTGGGTTGACCGTAATCAAATTCCTTACTTCTCAGACCTTCTGTTTCCTCATAAAATTGAGATCATAACAGAACCTACCTCATAGGGCTGTGGTAACAATTAAATGAATAAATATACATAAAGAGCTTATAAAACTCAGTGCTTAGCCTGTAATAATTACTCAGTTTTTTTTTTTTTTTTTTTTGAGATGGAGTCTTGCTCTGTTGCCCAGGCTGGAGTGCAATGGTGCGATCTTGGTTCCCTGCAACCTCCACCACCCAGGTTCAGGTGATTCTCCTGCCTCAGCCTCCTAAGTTGCTGGGACTACAGGCATGTGCCACAATGCCTGGCTAATTTTTGTATTTTTAGTAGAGACAGTGTTTCACCATGTTGGCCAGGATGATCTCGAACTCCTGACCTCAAGTGATCCGCCTGCCTCAGCCTCCCATAGTGCTGGGATTACAGGCCTGAGCCACCGTGCCCGACCAGCACTCAGTAAATGTTCTGTTATTATAATTGATGTTATTATTAACCATGTGGGGTAACTATAGGGACCTTTTTTTTTTTTTTTTGAGATGGAGTCTCCCTCTGTTGCCCAGGCTGGAGTGCAGTGGTGCAATCTTGGCTCACCGCAACCTCTGCCGCCTGGGTTCAAGCAATTATCCTGCCTCAGCCTCCCGAGTAGCTGGGACTACAGACATGTGCCACCATGCCCGACTAATTTTTGTATTTTTAGTAGAGATGGGGTTTCACCATATTGGCCAGGTTGGTCTCCAACTCCTGACCTCACAATCCACCCGTCTTGGCCTCCCAAAGTGCTGGGATTACAGGTGTGAGCCACCGCGCCCCACCTATGGGGACTCTTTTTAACAAAATGTCTGACTAAAGACAATACAGTGTTCCTTTACCATATTCAGGAGCAGAGACTTGGAGATAAAATGGCAGGAGGAGAGAACGATCCAGAGTATGGTGCCTTTGGTGCCATCATGGCAATCTCTGACAGAAATGCCCGCTGAAGTTTCAGGGTCCTGCAGGGTCACAGCCTTACTGGTTCCCACCCACCCTGGGCTTGGCCAGACTGGGAGCTGCTCACAGGGGATGGTCTCCAATCTCCCTGTGCTTCCCTGCCAGCTGCACGAGAAGTTTGACCGTCTGAAGAAACTGCACCAGGACGAGAAGAAGAAGCTGGAGGATAAGAAGAAATCCTTGGATGATGAAGTGAATGCTTTCAAACAGAGAAAGACGGCGGCGGAGCTGCTCCAGTCCCAGGGTTCCCAGGCTGGAGGCTCACAGACTCTGAAGAGAGACAAAGAGAAGAAAAAGTAAGTAGCAGGCTGCTCTGGGGTGGTGCCTTCTCTCTCCTCCTGCTCATCCTCCTGGGTCAGGACGTGGCACCTGAAGGGGCTGAGGACTGGTGACCAGAGGTGAGCTGTGGGCTGTCAGATTCGTTGGGGTACCTATAATTGGTCTTACCATCCCTGTGGGATCTTTGGATTCCCTGAGTTTGGGGAGCTGAGAGTAGGGGAGGGATGTGGTCCCAGAGGCCCAGCCCATCCGTCCAGCTTGCTTAGGAAATCCCTGCAAACTCAAGGCCCATAGGAGCAGAAGGGAAAGGAGAGGAAAAGCAAAGAGAGAGTAAAGGAGCAGAAGGAAGGAAAAAAATGAGAAGTGCAGCAATATAAGAGAGGAACAAGGCTGGGTGTGGTGACTCACGCCTATAGTCCCAGAACTTTGGGAGGCTGAGGCAAGCAGATCACTTGAGATCAGGAGTGTTAGACCAGCCTGACCTACATGGCAAAACCTTGTCTCTACTGTAAAAACAACAACAACAACAACAACAACAACAAAAAACAGAAAGTAGCCCAGTGTGGTGATGCACACCTGTAGTTCCAGCTACTCAGGAGGCTGAGGCAGGAGAATCACTTGACCCTGGGAGGTGGAGGTTACAGTGATCTGAGATGACACCACTGCATTCCAGCATGGGCAATGGAGCGAGACTCCATCTCAAAAAAAAAAAAAGAAAAGAAAGAGAGAAACAAAAAGAAGTACAGATATGGGCCAGGCGTGGTGGCTCACACCTGTAATCCCAGCACTTTGGGAGGCCAAGGCAGGTGGATCACCTGAGGTCAGGGGTTCAAGACCAGCCTGGCCAACATGATGAAACCTCATCTCTACTAACAACACAAAAAATTAGCAAGGCGTGATGGTACATGCCTGTAATCCCAGCTACTTGGGAGGTAGAGGCAGGAGAATTGCTTGAACCCAGGAGGCAAGGTTGCAGTGAGCTGAGATCACGCCATTGCACTCCAGCCTGGGTGACAGAGCAAGACTCTGTCTCAGAAAAGAAAAGAGAAGTGTAGATACAGAGTAGTGGAAGAAAGAGAAAGCCTTTAGCAGAAACTCTGTGCACCCTCTCCCCACCCCTGCCCTATATCTGAGGTTGCTCACCTCTCCACCCTGTCTCAGTTCTCACTTGCTGCAGCAAATGGAATTTAACTGCTGCCACTGAAGGCTGCAGCCCAGCCTTGATTTCCCCTTTGTGATCCTTCCCTGCTGGCTGCTTAGTTCTGCCCAGCCTGGGGTGCTGAGAACTTACAAGGGAGCCCTCAGATGCCAGTGTACCCACATGTGCCCCATGCTCGTCTGGGGAATGATTTTAAGACTTCCCATCTCCTCTGATTCTAGAACATTGGCTCCTGGATACCATGTGGGTCAATAATCCTCACCCAACCCATCTCTGCTTGCTGAAGTTACCCATTCTTTATCCTAGAACCAGAGAAAAGTATTTCCAATGGGATCTAGAAAACCCTCTGGGTGCCCTTGTGCCCTGCAGTTATTTCTGCAGTGTGACTAGAGAAGCTCCCAGGTGGACTGTGTAGCAGTGTCTTTACTAAAGGGTACTGAGGATGCAAAAGATGTCCATGGTCATTGCCTTCTGTTTTCAGCCACTTGTTCCTGGACTTCACTATTGGATATTTTGCCAGAAGGAAGAAACACCTTCCTTTCCTCTGGCTTATAACTTAGAAACAACATGGTAACTTTTGCATAACAGTAGAATATGTTATATTTGAAGGCACTCAGCTTTGCAATACAATTACTGTTTATTCAAATGTGTAATTTGAACATCTCGGCCAGGTACGGTGGCTCATTGCCTATAATCCCAGCACTTTGGGAGGTCAAGGCAGGTGGATCACTTGAGGTCAGGAGTTCGAGACCAGCCTGGGCAACATGGCGAAACCCCATCTCGACTAAAAATACAAAAATTAGCTGGGCTTGGTGGTGCACACCTGTAGTCCCAGCTACTTGGGAGGCTAAGGCAGGAGAATCACTTGAGCCTGGGAGGTGGAGTTTGCAGAGAGCCAAGATCATGCCACTGCACTCTAGCCTAGGTGACAGAGTGAGACTTTGTCTCAAAAGAGAATGAACATCTTCACCAATTAGTCCAGAGATTTTCGTTACTGAATCTTAATACTACATGTCAAATTCATTGATGAATGAGCTTTTTTGGTATTACTTGATGGATAAAGTTCAATTAGCCAGAAAAAAGTCTCTTTAGACACACCCTGTACTGTATTCACTTATCTGTCATGGTGTATTAGTTGCACCAGCAGGAATGGATTCCTATTTTTAAGATCAGAAAAATCTAAATTTGTCCTCCAGCTGTAACCTCCATAGTCCTGTGGTATTTGTTAATTCAATACCTGGGGCAGTTTCATCGCCTGGTTGTTAGGAATTGGTTTGTTCAGGCTGCATTGAAACTATAAATATTCTCTATTCAGATGTTCAGTAAAAGTTCTTTTTAGATCAAGCTTTCCCCTTGTTGCCTCAAACTGACTGATTTCTCCCACCCCAGGCAGGAGATCCCAACAGAGAGATACCCCTCTCTACTCTCCAGGAATATCTGGCGTTGGTGACAGCTCCCCTTTCCAATTCTGAAATGGGTGAAAACCCTGCTGGCATGTGGCACTTCATATTAACAATAAGGGCCTAACAGAATGACCTATCCTCTTCCGTACTTCCAGATGTCCAAGTGGCCCCGGGTCTCCTCTTCTTATGTAATTACATGAGCAATTGGTTAACTCCTGAAAGAGCCACCATTAGACCTGTGCCACCCTCCTCCCATAGTCGTGATGGTGGGTTTTGAGGGTAGAAATGGTGGTAGTAGTATTTCCTCTAGAGAGATGGTGGTTGGATATAAGAGTCACATATTCAGAATTTCCTTTAGCTTCCCCTAAATTAGAGATTAAGAAATTACTGGCCGGCCGCAGTGGCTCACGCTTGTAACCCCAATACTTTGGGAGGCCAAGGTGAAAGGAATGCTTGAGTCTAGGAGTTTGAGATCAGCCTGGGCAACATAGTGAGACCCTTGTCTCTACAAAAAAAAAAATTAAACATTAGCTGGGAATGATGGCACTTGTGTATAGTCCCAGCTACTCGGGAGGCTAAGGTGGGAGAATCACTTTATCCCAGGAGGTTGAGGCTGCAGTGAGCTGTGACTGCACCACTGCACTCCAGTCTGGGCAAAAGAGAGAGACCCTGACTCAGAAAACAAAAAAAGAGTATCAGTGTTTCAGGGATTCCTACCAGTCCACCCTTCCCACTTCCCCTTCCTGCTACTCCTGATCACCTTTGACCTCTAACCCTTCATTGTTTGTGTTAACTCATAATATTTGATTTCTCCTCATGCTCACTCCATCAGCTCTTACTGTTTTACAGTTAACTCTGCTGTTTGCTGCATGCTGCATGAGACCCAGGGTCCTGGTAAGCTTGATTAACTCTAAATAGAACTAGCAGTGGCTTCTAGAACATATCTCCCCCAGTCCCGCACCCCCAACGCAAACATCCAATCTTAGAAGAAGCTGCTTCAATGGTCTAGCTGGTTTTCTCTTGTGACTTATAATATGAAGAAATAGTCTGGTGTGGTTTCAAGTGTACATGTGGAATGTCTGACTGCCTGCCTGATGAAAGTGAGAGATTGTTTCAGACTTTGGCTGCTAGAACAGCTGGGTAACATAGGTGGATCTTGTGATCAGTATTCAAGGTTTCAGTGTGGGTAGTCTTTTTCTTAAAGAGCCATAATCAAGCCGGGCACAGTGGCTCACACCTGTAATACCAGCACTTTGGGAAGCTGAGGCGGGCAGATCACCTGAGGTTAGGAGATCGAGACCATCCTGGCCAACATGGTAAAACCCCGTCTCTATTAAAATACAAAATATTAGCTAGGCGTGGTGGTACATGCCTGTAATCCCAGCTACCCGGGAGGCTGAGGCAAGAGAATCGCTTGAACCTGGGAGGCGGACGTTGCGGTGAGCTGAGATCATGCCATTGCACTCCAGCCTGGGCAACAAGAGTGAAACTCTGTCTCAAAAAAAAAAAAAAAGAGCCATAATCATTATTTGCAAAATTAATGAAACCGTAGTGATGAGAGAAACTTTGGGGTTCACAAGCCCTGTCCTGCAATGTCACACAGTCAGCATCAACCTCCTCTCATCCCCCTGCATCAGGTTTGAGACTATCCAGAGTTAATGGAAACTCACTTCTCTGTTTCCCTCTGGTGGCTGTTTCTTATCTGAGGGGTTCAAGTTCTCAAATTCCATTTGACTGTACCCCCTCAAAACCGTAACAAAAGTAGAGGAAAATGAAGAGACCTTAGACATTATAGAGAATTCCTTGCATTTAATCCTACAAGTACCAGCTTCATGAAACCCTCTTGTAAGACCAGTAGGTAACCTTTGGTAAGGATTCCTGAGTGCTAGATTTTGTGTTTATAGTTTATAAGGCATCACATAGTTTATGGGGAGACTGAAAGCAGGGATGAAGCACCTTCTCTCTCCTCTACTAGACTCAGGTAGTGAATGGAAAGGAAATACAAACATTTTTAATTTCACATCATTAGGTTTTGTTGTTGTTGTTGTTTGTTTGAGATGAAGTCTTACTCTGTCTCTCAGGCTGGAGTGCAGTGGCACAATTCAGCTCACTGCAACCTTCGCCTCCTGGGTTCAAGCAATTCTCATGCCTCAGCCTCCCAATTAGCTGGGATTATAGGCATGGGCCACCATTCCTGGCTAATTTTTGTATTTTTAGTTGAGACCGGGTTTCACCACGTTAGCCAGGCTGGTCTTGAAATTGTGACCTCAGGTGATCCACCCACCTTGGCCTCCCAAAGTGCTGAGATTACAGGCGTGAGCCACTGTGCCCAGCCTAGGGTTATATTTTTAAAACTTTACCATGGAAACTTTCAAACATGAACAAAAGAAGAAAGGATAATACAGTTCGGCCCACAACCCAGCCCCCAAACAACCATAAACATATGCCCAATCTTGTTTCATCAATTACTGCAGACCTGCTGAATTATTATAAAGCAAAATCATATCCCTTTATCTGTAAATACATATATATATATATATATATATATATACACTTCCAAGAGAACGATCCTTTAAAAAAACATAACCACAACCCCACCATTATCACACCTACAGAATGAACAATAATTCATTAACATGAAATGTCTAGTCAGTGTTTGAAACATCCTGGTTGTCTTATAAATGCCTTTTTACATTTGGTTTGTTTGGATCGGGGAATAGAAAATATAGAGAAGACTTTTCCCCACTCACCCATGTAGTTTATGATTTAAATGGAAAGCCTGCTGTTAGTCACCAAACTGATTGTTGCAGCTATTGCACTGGGGACTTGGGGCAGCTGGCAAAACATCCTGCTTGGAAGCAAATCCTGAAGAGGAAGTCCATAGAGGTTTCTGCAACATAAGGCCCATGAAACCGGGCCAAAGGAAACAATCTTGAAAGAACAATGACTTGATTTACTGTCTGGCTTAACAGCAAGTCTTGGAGTCCCTGCTAGTTGACTGAAATTAAACAGCAAATTTCCATTTAGGAAGACAGTCAATTCCTAGAATGTCTGTCCATTCTTTGCACTGTAGTTCCAGTGCCTAGCGAAGTGCCTGTCACGTAATAGGACCTTGGTTCATGCGTTATGTTCTTTGTTCCTCCATTTTTCTGTTGTTTTTTGTTTTGAGACGGAGTCTCTCTCTGTTGCCAGGCTGGAGTGCAATGGCGCGATCTTGGCTTCCGGATTCAAGCTATTCTCCTGCCTCAGCCTCCCAAGTAGCTGAGATTACATGCTTGCACCACCAAGCCCAGCTAATTTTTGTATTTTTAGTAGAGACAGGATTTCACCATGTTGGCCAGGATGGTCTCTATCTCCTGACCTCGTGATCTACCTGCCTCAGCCACCCAAAGTGCTGGGATTACAGGCATCAGCCACCATGCCTGGCTGTTTCCCCATTTGTAATGAGGAGAGCAGCAAAGATGTATTCTAGTTTGTGAGATTTTAGTTTATTCAGGTTTCATTGCACATGGCTTGACACAATTGCATACAGGTTTCCCCAAGTAAATCATTGTTAGTGGCCATTCCTAAACTGAACTCTGGCAAAACTATAATTAAAACTACACTTTACAATTGAGAGGCAATTTGGTAACCAGCTGGAATAGCCAACCCCAACCCCGAGTAGGTTGGCTCTTCTTGGCAGGCTTCTCCGTGGTAGACCAAGAAAGCAGTTCCAGACCAACTAGTCAGGGGAGGCTTGGACTGCCAGGATCTGAAAGCAGCAAAGGCAACCCACCCCCTCCTCAAAGCCCTCATGCTAGGGGTGGATCATAAAGGCCACCTAGAATGCAGGCACTGAGGTTCACTGTGCCTCCACAGTTTGAAATTGCTTGAGGCACTACTTGTAGCTCTCTGCATTTGTAAAAGCGATTCCTTTGTGATTCCCCCCAACATATTTGCAGATACTATATCTCAATTGTTATTGGTCCTTAGGAGTGCACAGTATATGGATAGTGTACAAATATCAAAATATATCAGCCTTCCCATGAAACTAGAATATAGGCCATTGTGGTGTTTTTTAGGTTACTCTTCCCCTAGGAAGTAGACAAAGAATAAAAATAAGATATGAGGCTGGGCACGGTGGCTCATACCTGTAATCCTAGTACTTTGGGAAGCCAAGGCGGGCAGATAACCTGAGGTCAGGAGTTCAAGACCAATATGGCCAACATAGTGAAACCCCTTTCTACTAAAAATATAAAATTAGTTGGGTGTGGTGTTGCATGCCTGTAATCCCAGCTACTTGAGGGGGCTGAGGCAGGAGAATCGGTTGAAGCCGGGAGGCAGAGGTTGCAATGAGCCAAGACGGCACCACTGCACTCCAGCCTGGGTGACAGAGCAAGACTCCATCTGTAAAAAAAAAAAAAAAAAAAAAAAAGATGAGAATTTGTATAGCTTTTATTACTTTCCAAAGTGTTTTTGTTTTTGTTTTTATTTTTTGTATGGTATCTCATTTTACAGTTATAACAGGTCTGTGTGGTTAGAAGGAATAATCCCCAGTTTACAAAATGAATAAATGGAGGCTGGGCACAATGGCTCACTCCTGTAATCATAGCACTTTAAGAGGCTGAGGTGGGAGGATCACTTGAGCCCAGGAGTTGGAGACCAGCCTGGGCAACATGGTGAAACCCTGTCTCCATATTTACTTTTAAAAAAGAGTGGCCAGGCGCAGTGGCTAACACCTGTAATCCCAGCACTTTGGGAGGCCAAGGCAGGCAGATCACCTGAGGTCAGGAGTTTGAGACCAGCCTGGCCAACATGGTAAAATCCTGCCTCTACTAAAAATATAAAAATTAGCTGGGCATGGTGGTAGATGCCTATAATCCCAGCTACTCGAGAGGCTGAGGCAGGAGAATCGATTGAACCTGGGAGGTGGTTGCAGTGAGCTGAGACCACACCATTGCACTCCAGCCTGGGAGACAGAGCAAGACTCCATCTGAAAAAAAAAAAAAAAAAAGAGTAAATGGAGGAGCAGAGAATTTAAGGAATTTACCAAGGACCACACAGTGAGTTTGGTGGCAGAACTCCTATTTTCTGTTATAAATTACCATTCACCTCAGTGTGTGTATATCCTGAAGGTGTATGTGTGGGAGTATATTCCCTTTGAGGAAGTGACTGTAACATACTCATTTATGCCCATACTTTTATCCCTGCCAGATATCTAATAGTCTTTATTTAATGGGATAAATTAATTCTTCAGGTAATAAATAGGGGCTTAGATCCACAGCCAAGGAATTCTCAGGGACATTGCATGTGATAGAGTCTTAAATAAACAGCTCTGGGCCCAGCTGTGACTCTTTCTTTGTGGCCACAGTCAAGTCTATTGACTTCTCTGTGTTTCTCAGTCTACTTATATGTCAAATGGGGATCAGTCCTACTTGCTGTATTTATGTCACAGGAATGAAATTTACATGGAAGAGAAGTCAAAGTGTTATTTAAGCACAAACCCATGATGGGTTTCCATAGTTCAAGTTCTCAGGTACCAACCCCATACACTCTGCAAACAGGCCTTGCCCCAGAGTACCAGCTAGCTGACTAGGACAGCTCTGAGGGCCTCCTGGGGTGAAACCTTAGCCTCCTCTGCTTTCCCTATGGGACAGAAAATGCAGTGGCTAGAGCCTGAGGCTCTATCCACTGGCCTGAGGCCACCTGGAGATTTGCGGAAGGTATTCCTGTAGAAGGTGACAGGGGGAACATTAGTCAGGACCTCGTCATTAAGAAGAGATAGCCGGGTGCAGTGGCTCACGCCCGTAATCCCAGCACTTTGGGAGGCCAAGGCGGGCAGATCACAAGGTCAGGAGTTTGAGGCCAGCCTGACCAACATGGTGAAACCCCATCTCTACTAAAAATACAAAAAATTAGCCGGGCATGGTGGCACACACCTGTAATTCCAGCTAGTCAGGAGGCTGAGAAAGAAGAATTGCTTGAACCCGGGAGGCAGAGGTTGCAGTGAGCTGATATCATGCCACTGCACTCTAGCCTGGGCGACATAGCAAGACTCCGTCTCAAAAACAAAAAAAAAAGAGACAGATGGCAGGGTGCAGTGGCTCATACCTGTAGTCCCAGCACTTTGGGAGGCAGAGGTGGGTGGATCACCTGAGGTCTGAGGTCAGGAGTTCAAGACCAGTCTGACCAACATGGAAAAACCCTGTCTCTACTAAAAGTACATTAGCTGGGCATGGTGGTACATGCCTATAATCCCAGCTACTTGGGAGGCTGAGGCAGGAGAATCGCTTGAACCCAGGAGGCAGAGCTTGTGGTGAGCTGAGATCGTGCCATTGCACTCCAGCCTGGGCAACAAAAGTGAAACTTTGTCTCAAAAAAAAAAAAAGAAGAGACAAAAAATATTTTTGTGGTTGTTGATCATGATTTTGCTGGCTAATGCCACTGCTGCCATCATGTGGGAGTGTGTGTGGAGTGTATGAGAGAGAAAGCATGTTCCCCGGAGCCAATGCAATAAGACTTTTAAGACCATCTAACATAGCTATAATTCTAATTTAGCCATTAGTCCTCATGACTTAATTTTCTTCTGACCTTTTTTTTTGGTATATTAATCTATCTGTTCATTAACTCAGCTTCTCTTTTCATTTTCAGTTTGGGCTTCCTGTAGAAACCCTTTACCTGCGCAACAGAGCTGGGCCTCCCTTTCTCTAATTTCCCCCTTAACATGCCTCGGGGGCATACCATCCAACTCGGTCCCTCTCCTCTCTTCCTGCCAAGGTTTATAGAAACCTGAGAGTCTGAGGACGATGTCTGGCCGCTGGTCAAGAAGCCAACAGTCATGTGGCTCACAGATGAATCCTGCTTCCCAGTCCCCATCCCGGCACCCCCAACCATTCCCCCTGTATTCCCCACCATCTTTGCCAGAGGTGTGACATAGTCAGGGGGCCCATCTGCTACTCTTCCCCACCAACTCCCCAGTTCCAGTTGCTGTTAGTTTCCCTGAGGTGTTTGCATCCACCATGGCTGGGTAAGCACCGGTCAGCACAGCTGCCTCCTTGGTCTCCTGTAACCTAGTCACTAGTCTTCTCTGGCTCACCCCACCCTCATCCTCAGGAGCCACAGCCACTTCTCAGAGGGTTCCAAAGGGAGAACCTTTGGCGCCTGTTCCTTCTAACCTTCAAGTCCAGCCCTTTCCAGTTCTCATTCACTCAAAGTAACTGCACTCAAGCTGTGCTCAAAATTTGCAACACATTTATTTACACCAAACCCATAAAACACAACTGCTGGAGAAAATAGCAGGCATTTTCCCTCTAACTCTGGGTATCCCACAGATGCAAAAGGGAGAATAAACCTGAATATTATTACCAGTCTAGAGTCTTGAATGATAGCCTTACTGAATTCTTCTTGTGAGGTATCTCAGGGTAGTTTCCAGAAGGGCTCCATACCATCCCAATAGGGTGAGGCCAGTAGCAGGAATAATAAATCCCACTTTGTAGACTGGAAAACTGAGCTGTCAAAGAATCAAGTGTTTGCAGGTTTGCTCTGATGAGTCTTCTAGTTCGTTCAGTGAACGTCATGATGATTTTTCACATGCATTTTGCATGTATCCCCAATAAGAAGAGATGAGACTATCAGCTGGAGAGAAGAAAAGAGGTGTTCCACCTTGGAAGGTCCGTCACTGTTTCCAATCTAAGGAGTTAAGAGTCTGAAAATATTCCAGCCCTAGTTTTTATCATGGGTCTCATCTGATAGTGGCTTTGGGAACCTCTGTGAAGTACAGAGCCCTCCTTTATCAGGGTTATGAGGCACAGTGGCCTTTGGTGTTTGGCCAGTGACAGAGTGAGCGATGGAGTTGACCTGGCAATGATCTGTGGCTAACATGCCGTCTCTCTGCCCTTCCTTTGCAGTAACCCATGGCTGTGTACTGAATAGTATTCCCTGCTACAGCTGGACTGGACTCCATTTAGCTTTTTAAGCCAAGGTTCCTATTTTAACTGACAGCTTTCCTTCGGGGTGTCAGGCAGCCAGGCCCCCGACCCCTACCCTGCCACGTACTTCAAGCTCACTTCTTTTTGAGTTCTGCAACTTGCTCCGGCCTCCCAGTCCCCTGGCACTGACCGTGACCACCACCTTCTTTTTTTTTTTTTTTGAGTTTCTTTTTTTGATTACTTACTTGCAAAGCACACAGTCAAACAAGGTTATGCCAAATTTCCAGGCCCTTTCAAAGCATTGAGAAGGGGAAGGGGATTTCTTGCTTCAATTATAGATTATAATAGGAAGTGAAAATAAAAAAAATGAAAAGCAAACATACGCACGCACTTTCTCTTTTCTTGCTGGCAAAGCAAGAGTGCAGGTTTGCTGTGCGCCGTTTGGTAATCTACTGATTGGTGCGTTTGGTAATCTACTGATTGGTGAGTGACCAGAGTAAGTACGAAGGTGATGCCAGAGCACAAGCCAGTTTCCTGGGAAAATTCAAGTCACAGTGGAGTATTTTTTTTTTTTTTGAAGACTGTATGTTTGGAGGTAGAAACAAACCAACAACCAGAAAAAAAAAAAAAAAAAGCTGCTCAGATACTGAGCCAGTAGCTCAGAGAGATGCTGAGTTAGGCTTGTCAGGTCTCTTTGGGAAAGGCTTCTTTGCAACTTTGATGATTCTGTGTCCAGCTTCAGAGCTGCTTTCCCAGAAATTCACGCTTAAACAACCAACCGGTAATCATCAACCCCCCACTCCCCTGTAATTATTTGCATTACAAACCTGAGGCGCACTCATTTGCATTTGTGTACAGATTAAGACTTGACAAGCTCTGAATACTTCAGAAGTATTAGACCCACACAGCCTTGGAGAGACCTTCAGAAACTAAGGGGAGTTTTATATTAATGGAGATATTTTATTCAGTAAGACAATAGGACCTACTTACCCTGGAAGGGGAAATGAAGGCCCAGAGAAAGGAGGTGACCGAGGTCCCACTGCTGTTTCAATGCAGAAGCCAGACTAATTTCCACACCTCCTGACTCCCAATCCATTTCACAAAGGGATTCAATCTGCTTATATATGTTCCTGGAGACGAGGTCTTTTGATGATCAGAGAAATGAGTAGTTAGTGTTAGGAGACCCTTGAGTTTTTCCCACAGAAAAACATCTGAAGATGGAGTGAGTGAGGGGTGGCAAAGCAAAGGCATAGCGGGCCAGCTTCTTAACCCAGTGATGCTGCAAGGCTGGAATGGGGTCCAAGAGACTGTGTGGAAAAGGTGCCCTAGGCGACCCTTATAATCAGGGAACTTGGTAAACAAAAATCTAACCCATGAGTGAACGTAATTTAAAAAGTTGATCAAGCCTATTAAAATGTGTATTTTATTGGATAGGTATTCTCACTTTAGACAGATTTTTTTCCTCCTTCAGTTAAAAGGCTTTTGATTAGTACAGCTGTTACTATTTTAAAAAAACATACAGTTAGTACTCTGTTTACTTCTGGTGAAACAAAACCAGTCATTAGAAATGGTCTGTGCTTTTATTTTCCCGGACTGGAGTGGCTTTTCTGAAACGGCACACACACACACACACACACACACACACACACTGGAGTGGCTTTTCTGAAACAGCGCGCACACTCACACACACACACACACACACACACACCCTCACTTCTCTTATGCCAACAAGTTTGTTTTCCCTAGCCGCAGTGTAGATGGCTCTTGTTTTTGTTTTTTTGTTTTAATCATTTGGCATTCATATGTGGCTGTTAATATGTGCTTGTTTTTAATTAAAACAAGAAGCTTTAAACTGGTGTGTGGTGTTCTTAAAACCGCATAAGCAGATTTCCCCGTGGTGATGGCCCATCAGCGACCCCCATTTCTAACCTGTCTTCTCAAACTATAATCTGTGCTACCTCATACTGCACACTTCCCCCCCCCGTCTTACTTTGAATGTCCTCTTTCTTTGGCTAATTTCATGTTTTCTTTCTCTTTCTCTCTCCCTCTCCAGCTTTTTTTAATCTTGTCTTCAGCAGCTGCACTAAGTCTAAAGGAGAAGACTGCCATTATAGAAGAGTTAGGGTTCCATATTGTCTCAAATCAGAAATCAACCAGTTCCCTCTCCCCTCAAACCGCAAGCACACACACACACACACCACAGCACTCAACAAGTGTTCATGTGTCCCTGTGTCCAGGCAAGAAGCTCTCTTCTGACTTACATGGTATTTTAAATGGAAGTGTCTTGTCCTAACTAACAAGGCAGGAAAAGAACCATCAGAGCTGGAAAATGGACCAAATGTAACCTCAGAGAAACAACTACAGGACCACTCACCCAAGTGTAAGTGACTGGGGCAGGACACCTCAGCTGTGGGTGTGGAAGTACTGTTCACAAGCTTTTGAGTTTTATGTTTTTCTTTTAAACATTTCTCTGGTTCAATGGGTTGACTGTCTACAGCCACTGTTAAACATTTCTGAATGTGGAAGAGGAAGTCAAGTGACATTTGTATCTTCTTCAGCATTCACAGACCTTCTAGAGACTCCAGCAAGGGGGAAAAATGGATCCACTAACACTCAGGTGGAAAAGGGAGAGAAGGGAGTTTAAGCTTAGTGAGAGCAAAGTTACTCCATTCAACCTTCTGAGACCAGTTGGAGTTTTGAGAGAGGTTTCTGCTCAACCTAGGATCTGGAGGGAGAGCTTTGATGTTGGTAAATTTGCCTTGAATTCACTGGTTTAACTTGCATCAAAATACCATGTGAGCGTGCTCATTCCATATATCCCTACCACCATTCTGCTGTTCAGTGTCTCTTGAGAGAGCCTCTTTGCATGTTTGCCAGAATCTGTGTGTGTTTTTCCTTTCTTCTCCTCTGTTTTTTTGCTCAAAGGTGTGACCAGTCACTGCCCCTCTGGGGCTTTCATTCTCCAGGAGAAACATCCCAGAACCAGCACTGTTTAGCTTGATACCTTTCTAATGTCCATGTCAATTTTCAATAAAATTCAAAGAAATGCTAAATGACTGTGTGATCTGATCTTGTCACTGGGTGATGCGGCCCACTACGGTTTGCCTGAGGAGTGGGTGGCTGCCTCCCAAGTGGGTGATTCGAAGGGCTCAGAGAGGCGCCACCAGCCTATGAAACCTTCCTAGGTGGGTTGCCATCCCCTGTGCCCACTTCCTCCGACTTTCTTTCATCTGGGCCTGAAATTCCCACCACGGCAGGGTGGAGGTGGGCAGGAAGTCCTCTACTTTTTTCTTTATTAGCATGGATTCAACTAAGTCGAGCTGATTATCATCTAGTATATTAGATGGAGGAAGTGGAGTACCAGATCCTGCGGAACAAGATTCAGGTGAGTTTTAATTCTGGCAGGAAAAGAACTCTGCACCATGTGTCTTCTCATGTAATCCTGGGATGTGAGCATCCCCCAAAATTCGTGGATATATGGATATGACTGCTTTTCATGACTTGAAAAGCATTCTATAGATACTAAGGAGTATTTTGTGTCCCGGGGCTACCAGAGATTGGACACTCCCATCCTCCAAAGCATTAAAGTGGGCAAGAGAGACAGCCGTCACTTTAAAGAACCCTGGTGACCCTTAGGGAAACAAACTTTCCTCAGCTTCGTTTCCCTAAGGACCAGGGTGCAGAAATCAGGGCAGGCATCTTATCGGTACAGAGGCCTGGAGGCCTCAGAAAGTACCCGGGTACATAGGCCTGGTTCTGCGCAGCTCGCACACTAGGGGGCAGCCGAGTGACACAATACGTCTGTGACGTTTGTGACGTCACTGAGCAGAGGCTGGCACTAAGATGTCATGGAAAATTACAAGCCCTAGAGCCCTACAAACTTGCGAACTGTGCGCTCTAGAGGCAAGTTGTGTTTAAAACGTCTCTAGAGGCCGGGTGCGGTTGCTCACGCCTGTAATCCCAACACTTTGGGAGGCTGAGGTAGGTGGATCACCTGAGGTTAGGGGTTTGAGACCAGCCTGGTCAACATGGCGAAACCCCATCTCTACTAAAAATACAAAAATTAGCCGGGCATGGTGGCACATACCTGTAATCCAGCTATTCGGGAGGCCGAGGCAGGGGAATCGCTTGAACCCAGGAGGTGGAGGTTGCAGTCAGCGGAGATCCTGCCATTGCACTCCAGCCTGGGTGACGATAGCAATACTCCATCTTAAAAATAAACAAACAAAAAGAAGTCCTGGCCGGGCGCGGTGGCTCACGCCTGTAATCCAAGCACTTTGGGACACCGAGGTGGGCGGATCACCTGATGTCAGGAGTTTGAGACCAGCCTGACCAATATGGTGAAACCCCATCTTTACCAAAAATACAAAAATTAGCCAGACGTGGTGGTGGGCACCTGCAGTCCTAGCTACTCGGGAGGCTTAGACAGGAGAATTGCTTGAATCCGGGAGGCAGAGGTTGCAGTAAGCCGAGATCGTACCACTTCACTCTAGCCTGGGTGACAGAGCAAGACTCCATCTCAAAAAAAAAAAAAAGAAGAAGAAATGAACACACATAGCTGGAATTTTAATACAAATTAGTGGGGGTGAGGGGAATCGGTTTGCATTTAATAAAATTTGCATATAGCGTTGCTATCGCATCAATGGGGGCGGGGCATGGGCCTGCTGTGGTGAACAGAGCCTTCTCCAGGGGAGAGAAGTTGCTGAACATCTGGGAATGCCACCTGCTTCTAGGAGAATGAGTCTCTTGGCTTTCATGAAGGGTTCTCTTTTTCTCCTTTTTTCCTTGGCCTGTGGCTTAACTGCACCTAACAGATCTCTCTGGAGTGCCTTAATAAAACTAGTTAAGGACTACATGTTGTATATAAGCAATGCATTCATATACCTTCCTGTTAATAGTAAAAAAAAAAAAAAAAAAAAAAAACATGAGTCTCTTATATCCTCAAAAAGGCCAAGCAACCCAGGGCTCCACTTGGCCGCATTGAGGTTAACAATGTCCTCTCCTATTTGAAATGTTCCCACTTAGGGAGATTCATCTTTTTGCTAAAATAACAACTTTCTTGCAAGGCCATTCTTTTGAAATGAAGGCACCCCTTGAGACAGTTATGCATTGGGACAGCAGGACCACATAGTGGTTTTGTCACTTACCACTGTATCCATCCACCTCTTGCACTACCTCTTAGGTTATTTGCCTTGGGCTTTAGAAAGTCTGTGCCCTGGGCTTAATATCTATGTAACATAATAGTCACTATTACATATAGGACTGTTTTCTGTTTGTTTGTTTGTTTGTTTGTTTTCGAGACAGTCTTGGCTCTGTCGCCCAAGCTGGAGTGCAGTGGCATGATCTCAGCTCACTGCGACCTCCCTCGGCCCCTTCAAGCGATTCTCCTGCCTCAGCCTCTGGAGTAGCTGAGATTACACAGCCTCTGGAGTAGCTGAGATTACAGGTCCCCACCACCACACCTGGCTAATTTTTGTATTATTGGTAGAGACAGGTTTCGTCACGTTGGTCAGGCTGGTGCTGTTGCACTCCAAAAAAATTAGCCGGTGTGTTGACATGCGTCTGTAGTCCAGGCTACTCCAATGGCTGAAACAGGAGAATCGCTTGAACCCAGGA